TGTATAAAGTCTGCTTGTCACCCCTGTGTATTTCTGAGTTCTCCCTGAAGATCTGTACAGAACGTATTGTGAAAGAACTAGTTTTAGGAACTGTTTACAGACTGACTACGCAGGCGCAAGATTTCTCGCGTAGGAGTGAATAGTTTTATATCAGTATATGTTTATTTGTCTTGCAAGTATTAACCATGTCCAGAATTCTAGGATCACTGTGGTAATTATTTCTTATATATACTTATGCTTATCGGTTGATTAAAGTATGATTGATATTTATATATGTGTTTGTTGGTTCCTCGCCACAGTTTTTTAATTCCTGAGTGGATTATTTGTTGTATTCGTATGATTTATCACTCAAAGCTTTTTCTGTGGGTTTATTAAACTTATTTAGATTGAAGACTCAGAGAAATAAACATTCGGAACCTTATTATCATCCTTTTGTTATGAAGAGCGTTGAGAGAAGGGAGTCTTACGATCCGGTCTAGAGAAATACCACACGGTACATATATTCGGTCTTTAGGGAAATCGCTAAGTAGCGAAACACAAATTGTCTTCACATGTGAAACAAATTCTAAACATTTTTGGATGAATTATCTTTACATTTCTGGTTGAGAGATATTTCTAAATATTTATGGATTTGATTTATCTTTATCTTTACAGTTATGACTGAAAGATACGTTTAGCTGTTTATGGATGAATTATCTTCACATTTATGCTTGAAAGATATTTCTAAATATTTATGAATAAAATATCTTTCATTTTTATAACGAATGAAAAACAGGTTTAAGGGTATGAATAACTGCTGTAAAGGGATGAATAATCAATGAATGACAGGTTAGGGATGAATAATTAATGAATGACAGGTTAGGGATGAATAATTAATGAACGACTGGTTTAAGGATAAAAATCAATAAATGACTGGTTTAAGGATGAACAATCAATGAAAGACTGGTTTAAGGATGAATAATTAATGGATTTCTGGTTTAGGGATAAAGAATCAATGAATGACTGGTTTTGGGATGAATATTCAATAAAAGACTGGTTTTGGGATGAATAATCAATAAAAGACTGGTTTAGGGATAAATAATCAATAAAAGACTGGTTTAGGGATGAATAATCAATAAAAGACTGGTTTAGGGATGAATAATCAATAAAAGACTGGTTTAGGGATGAATAATCAATGAATGACTGGTTTTGGGATGAATAATCAATAAAAGACTGGTTTAGGGATGAATAATCAATGCGTTACTTGTTCAGGGAGGAATAAATAACGAATTACTTACTTAGGGATGAATAATCAATGAATTACTCGTTTAAGAATGATTGATTAATGGATAATTGAAGTTAAGGGATGATATAATCAATGAATTACTGGTTTAGGGATAAATAATGAATGAATGACTAGTTTACGGATGAATAATCAATGAATGACTGGTTTAGGGATGAATGGGCCGAATGAAAGAATATATAAAAAGAGAAGAAGAAGTACAGCTCAGCAGGAACTAAAACATATTCAGCTTCAAGATCTAAACAGAACTAGGAAACAGAAGAAACCAGCAAACAATTACAGGTTATATCTAGCAGGGGGGAGGGTATCCCCCCCCCCTCCATTCCATATTGAAATATGTTTTCTAAACAATATGAAATATGAAAATACTAAAGGAAGCAAACATGAGGTTTTGAAATGAAAAAAATCAAGATTTTTTGTTTTGTTTTTACAGCGGTTGCCATTGTTGAACGTCCTTAGTAATTGGTCATGCCAGTTAAACCCTTTTTATCTAGCGTTGATTTCATTAAGATTTTATAACCGTTACAGTGGGATCAATAAAAATGTGGAATAGTAAGACGACTGTTAGACTTAATTAATTTATCATTCAAATGGTTCATGAACAATCAACATGACAACCATGTTACAGGTCAGGTGAACTATGCGCTTTATAGAGACGTCAAAAAGCATATGATTGGTTACGGTCGTCTTCCTAAAAACAGTTTTGCAGGTCCGATATTTTTTATAACTTTTTGGTTATCTGAAGGTCTGGCTCCTGTAGTTCTATCAATGAGAAAATGGAGGATCTTTCCCAACCTGAACATGAACCTGAACCTGAGCCTAAACCAGAACCTGAACCAGAACCAGAACCTGAACCTGAACCTGAACCTGAACCTGAACCTGATCCTGGACATGGATTCAGGAAACTATTCTAGATACAAATCTATTCATCAACATGTGTTTAATTTCCCTGTTTGTTTGGAAAACCGCAATTAAAAACGAAAAAACCGCAAAATTTTTTTGTTTGAAAGGAATTGAGTCTTTGTCACAAACTCAAATTTCATAATCTCTATCTTTATTTATACGTCTATCTGAGCAACAAAGAAGAAGAAATTCTCATTTTTTCATCTGAAAAAATGTTAAATTCTTAGATATTTTATCTCTGATCAAATAAATCCGCTATAGATACAAAGGAATTGAGTCTTTGCCACAAATTCAGTTTAAAAAAAAACCTATATATCTTTGCAACCTTATAATGTAAATCTTTGATATTACATTATTTGATCTAAAAGCATTCATAGTTTGAAATATTAAAGGTCTACGAGATTGGGTTGCAACGATATTGAAATTATAAAATCATAGTTTGTGGCAAAAACTCAAGTCCTCTAAGGAGTTGTTAAATAAGCACGCAGAAAGAGTGGCACGAAGCACACTTAAATTTTAAGATTCAATCGAACACTAAGTTTAACTAGAACTTGTTTAACCCTATAGTCCTAAATGGAAAGGACAGGCGGGACGGGAGAGTCAGGAATTTCTTCTTAGTGAAACCCCAGTCCCACCATTTCATCAGGAATAGATTTAATAAATATATATCTTTCTAAATAACTTTCTAAACTTTTCAATGGTGTATTTTTGTATGTGGTAATTCGTTGATTTTGCAAATTTTATTTTGAGACCAATTCTGAAAATTTTCTTGCTGTAACGAACGAAGCTGATTACTTTCGGGAGAACGCTCTTTACATTTCAACAAAGATCTGATGAACATGAACTGATTTGAAAAAACAATTCGGTATACATAAAGTAAACTTTCAATAAAAAAAATTACACGGCTGAGACTTCTAGTACCCCTAATTTTTTAGCGACTCTTATTGATACCACCTCGTTTATATGTATATGTTAGGGTGTAAATATGTTAGCCATAGCTGGCCACAGCTGGACCGAATTGGCTGATTTGTTGAAGAAACTCATGGGTACCCTGGGGGTAACATAGGTTTAATAAATTTCTTTAGCTATAGTTCTAAAATAAAGTTAATCTAGATTATATAATTTTTATAATTCCGTCTGTGACATAGTTAACCTTTTTGAAAATTATGGAGTTTATGTTTTGGATTCCCTACCTTAAATATCTGTAGATTATGGAGTGTCTGGTTAGGATTCCATCTTAAATATCTGTAAATTATGGAGTGTCTGTTTAGGATTCCATCTTAAATATCTGTAAATTATGGAGTGTCTGCTTTGGATTCCATCTCAAATATCTGTAAATTATGGAGTGTCTGTTTAGGATTCCATCTTAAATACCTGTAATCTTTTACAAACAGATTTGATATGTGTAATCTTTTACAAATAGATTCCATTTTCAATATCTGTAATCTTTTACAAATATATTCCATTTTGAATATCTGTAATCTCTTACAAATATATTCCATTTTCAATAACTTTAATCAATTAAAAATAGATTCATCTTTAATATTCGCAATCTATTACAAATGAATTCCATTTTCAAAATCTGTAATCAATTACAAATAGATTCATCTTAAATATTCGTAATCTATTACAAATAGTTCAATCTTTAATATCTGTTATCTTATACAAATAGAGTCCATCTTTAATATCTGTAATCTATTACAAACAGATTTCATATTTTATATATGCAATCTATTACAAATAGATTTCACCTTTAATATCTGTAATCTACTACCAATAGATTCTTTCTTTATTATCTGTAATCTATTACAAATAGAAGCATTTTCAGTATCTGTTATTTATTACTAATAGATTCCATCTTTATTATCTGTAATCTATTACAAATAGATCCATTTTAAGTATCTGTAATATATTAATAATAGATTCCATCTTTATTATGTGTAATCTATTCCAAATAGATTCAATCATTATTATCTGTAATGTATTACAAATAGAACCATTTTTAGTATCTGGTATTTATTACTAATAGATTCCATCTGTATCATCTGTAATTCATTATAAATGAATGAAAAATATATTAAATCTACATAAAAAGGTAAATTCAACTCTGTGTATGGAGAGTATAGCTGAGCTCAATGGGAATGGGGATAAAAAGGTGATCAGAATTTACTAAACCCATCTGTTGCGTCAAACTATAATTTAGCATTCTGATGTTTTTTGAACGTAATTTATCGAGCAGAATATAAAGTTTAAAATATCAAAGGTCTATACAATCGAGTTGCAAATATAAAAGCACTGAAAATTAGAGTTTGTGGCAAGTTTTCAGTTTCTTAATTTTAAACTTTGAATTCGTCGGTTTTACAAGATTTCTTTACAGTTCCTTTATTGATAACATTACACATAAATTTGTGATTTTCTTTAAAAATAAACTAGAAAATGTTAACAAATGTTAACTTTGAACTTTTTACATTTAACATTTTTAATCTATTTCTTTTTTTTAAACACACTTGTTATTATTAATATAGTGTTATTAAGGACCGGCGAAGAATGACTGTACAGTATAGTCAGGAGACACAGCTGACCGATCTAAGACCAGAGAGTCAGGTACTGGAAATTGATAATTCCTGATCCATTGACTTTAAATGTATAATTCTTATAATTTTGAAATTGCACACAATAAACACTGCTAGATCAAATAGGCAAAGTTTGAAATTATATATATAGATAAAGAGAGAGATAAATACGAAGCAAAAATATATCGGTGTAAACAAATTAGTTTAAGTCGAGTGGTTTCGTTTTTTAATCAATTTTATATTTTTTAATAAAAAATGTGAAGTTAGAATTTCTGAAATTATATATATGAAGTTAGTTTAGTGTTTCAGTCTAATGCTTGATCTTGATTAAGAGTAATTTAATGTTGCACATTTTTAGCATTTTTAGCATCAAGAATTTTTTAAATTTATTTGAAAAATTAGACAAGGATACGAAATATCTATCTTTCAGTTTTATTAATAAAGATTCAGGATTAAGAATCTTGCTAAATATCCACCCCCCCCCCCACACCACCACCAAGCTATTCTATGAAGGAACAAAAGGATTTAAGTCAATGCCGCAATTTATACCCCTATATCTTTGGATTCTAATGTCGTAGACCTTAGATATTTCAAACTATGAATTCTGTTAGATCAATTAAGTTTGAAATATTAAAGATTTACAACATTGGGCTCCAAAGATATAGGGATTTTAAAAGAATAGTTTGTGGTGAAAGACTCATTTCCTTCCTTCAATTAATAACGAAACATATTTGAACCGCGTGGACAAATAAAAACACTTTCTTTCAAACATTTACCAGCAGAATACTAGAAAATTAGAAAAGTGGTTCAACTACATCTACGTGGTTTAAATACTCTATGGTCCAGGTTCACTTAGATCTAAACTTTTGCATCAATTTATCAGACTGAGTCGAATTTTGATGTGTCGGCCTTTGATTTTACCTTAATAACTCATTTAAATTATATTTTAGAACCGGAAACTACTTTTACTTTTAACTTCAATTTTGTAGAAATAATTTGCAAAATTTTAATAAAATTTTACGCAACATCTCTTTAATTGTCATAATAATTATATTTTTTTTTTGCGATTTACAGAACTCTCATCCAATTTTTTCCTCGTAAATCAAAGATAATCCTGAGATTGCTCTCTGTATGAAAACAATGTCTTTTTATGATGGCTTACACGTGCTCTATAAAAGCTCAGAGAAAAAGCTCTTTATACAAGCTCAACGAATAAAGATGGGCATCATATTTGTGGTGTGTCTATCAGTTAGATTTTCTTTGATTTAATTGTCCAGAATTTTTAGTTTAAAAAATTTGTTAACCATAACGATTTATCAGAATGATATAAATAATTGATTGTATCTTTGGGGCCTTTTATATTAATATGTATATGTTAAATTACAACTTTGCACCATGTCAGAGAAGCGAAATTAAAGAAAATTCACTTTCAAAATATATTTTTAACTTTTAATATGCCCGACTGACTACGTTATCCTTGAAACCTTAATCTGATCAAATATGTGGAAGATATCGTCGTTTTTTCTGAATCGAAAAGTGTTTATTTCTGTGAGTTTCTTATAAACAAGAAAGTCACTTCAACGCAAATGAAAATAAACAGTTCAAAGAAACAAAAATACTAATATCTAATTAATACTCGATCAAACTAAGCTTTAAAGGTTACCATTGTAAATTGTGCATTGTCGTCTTTACATGGAATGCCACTTTAAATTTCACTTACAGTCCCTTTAAAAGTTTTAAAATGTTCTGAACGAACCCAAAAACGATGTCCATCTCTATATCTATATCTAAAGAACATTTACTTCTGGGTTTCTATTAGCACATCCTCCTCTCATCATTCACTAGATAATTAATATTCAGACAGATACAGACTGTTTCCTTTTATCAGTAATCATCATATATACAGATTTTAGGCGTAATAGATATTCAATACAAACTATACATTTGATATAACTTTGATACAATATACCGGTAGTTAAAAATATACTGGGTTACCCACAAAGGGTGAGCATTTAATGACGACCAAAAACTACTTTGTAATTAACGGAATGTTAAGTTTTGATCATTTGCCCTTATAGTACTCTTTTGACGAACTTTATTATTAGTTTGTAAAAAAAATAAAGAGATTTAAATGAAATTTAATGAAAAAGACTGAATGAATTCCGTACAGTCGTCTCTGAAGGCTTGTTCTTCAGAAAACTCTGAATTCACAAAACTTAGGAAAGATTTCTCTAAGAATTATTCATATTACGATAATTGACTGATGAGAAAAAAATCAAAGATAAAAGAAAGTAATGAAATTCAGAGTAGAAGGGACTAAAGTCGTAATTTTAAAATACCGTGTATACGAACTTACGAAGGTAGCAATGCCCAATATACAACACAAAGGAATTGAGTCTTTGCGACAAACTTGAACTTTCCAATTCCTATATTTTTGCAACCAGAAGGTGTAAGCTTTATATATTTCAAACTTAGATTATTTTATCTAACAGAATGAATAATTTGAAATATCTAAGGTCTCCAACATTGGGCTGCAATGATATAGGGATTTGAAAATTAGTGTTTGTGGTAAAGACTCAATTCCTTTGAAAACGTACTCTCTTCAAAAATGTGGAAGACGTCTTTTTTCTAACTTGAAATGTGTTAAATACTGATAAATTCTCCAATATTTCTTATGAGCATGAAAAATGCGCAAGTCACATTTGCAGAAAACGACACACACAAAAAAACCAGTTTAAACAAAAACATGGATATCTAATGCGTACTTTATCAGACAAAAATTTCAAGGGTACCATTGTTAATCGGGCATTGACATCTTTACATGAAGAGTTAATTTCTTTTCTAGGATGACCTCCGTAAACCTGTGATAAAAGCTGACCGACCAATTAAACTAACCAGTATTATAAACGCAGCGAGCTTTACGGTCAAACTTAACAACCTGCCACACCAACACAAAGATTCCACAGGAACCAGTAGCAATAAAACCTTTAAAAATTGAAATTAAAAAGTAATTTCTGATTTTACAAAGAAGCTGTAAGTAGTGTTGTAAATAGTTTTAGTTCGCTAAAACAAAATTTTTTTAAAACTTTTTAAAACTGTTTTCTGTTAAATTTGTTTTTATTAAACTTTGCAATATTGTTAAACTTAAAAAATGGAAGTAAAAACTATCGTTTTTACACAAATGGATATTTAGAAAATCCTCAAGTTCTGGATTGTAAGTAAGTAATGGATTAAGATGGTTTGCCTAAAAATGCCTTTATTTAAATAGAATTTATATTAATGTATGAAATGGTTTAAACGACCGGTGTTAGGTATCATGAGTCCTATTATTTGTAAACAAATCTTTGAACTGAAGTTACATAATTTAGTTAATATTGTAAATTAAGATAATCTAAAATAACTCAAGTCTATGGAATTTGAATATTCTGCTTCATCTATCTATAATATATACGATAATATTTAGCTTTAAGCCCAAGTTTAATTAGATCGAATGACATTTCATTGCGAGAGTCACACATTTTCACAAATTCAATATTTTTCAAATTTAAAGTTTAGACCTGTTCAAACAGAATTTTAAAATAAAATCTCTTTTTCATTATTTTCTAACTGCATCAATTTGAATTTCCTCTCAAATTATTTAAATTTCAACTTTTATGTAAATCGTTATAATATCTTTTTTTATTTTAAAATAATTTTAGTTTGGAATCTCAGTGTTGGAAAAAATAAAAGCTATTTATGAAAGTGTTGCAGTGTTTCAGATTTTTTTTACGAAATTAGTTTAACTGTTGTTACTTTTCTAACAAAGACTTTCTTCGGCGACACATAATTGTTTATTTACTGCGGGGGCGAATGGGTGCAGAATCAGATTGCCTTATACTTGTTACCAATATATTAAAAAACCATACACTAATATTTTCTAAATGGTAACAGATTGTCTTTTATGTGTCACTAATGTACCAGAAACATAAAGCATAATTTGCTGAACCACTGCTGAACTACGATTTAGATTGTCATATATATTTGTTATCATTTTGAATATATAAAGAAATTGAGTCTTTGGAACAAAATCAAATATTTAAACCTCAATATCTTTAGAACTCGATGTCGTAAACCTTTGATATTTCAAACTCAGATTATTTGATCCAACAAAATTCATAGTTTGAAATATCTAAGGTCTACAACATTTGGTTCCAAAGATATAGTGATTAGAAAATCAGAGTGGCAAAGACTCAATTCCTTTATTCAATTCAAAATGTACAATTTTTAATCAAAATCCGCGAAAGATGCAAGGGAATCATGCTTTTCCGTTATAAAATGTTCTTTTATTTGCCTCGGAACAAATAAGAAACCTATTATACGCATGATCATGAAATTGTGAGTATAAATGCGGGATAAGAATCATCTTAAAATTGAATAAAGTTTTATTTTCTATAATATTTGCCACTTATTGAACCAGATAACGAGAAGAATGATATTCTTGTTCAACGTAAACCTGGTCTTACCTCACCCTTCCATTATGTAGCATATGTGATAGACCAAGTGAAGAAGAACAACCGGAAACGGAAGTCTGGTGCAAGTATCCGGCCGACTGGAAAAGTGGGAAGTGCATGTTTATGGCATGCTTGTCGTGCAATAACTCTCGGAAGTTTGCTTGTAATAACAGGAATAACTCTATGCGTTCTAGGTCAGTATTCAGAGTCAGAAATTAATGAATTTGAGCCGCGTCTTAAATAAGAGAATGAATATGATTCCGTTTCCTGCATTTTAAACAATCAATTTCCCGAATTTCTAGTTAAATCTACATTGCAAGAAGAAAATAATATTAATATTTTGATTTCTTGATGCCGTAATTTTTTAATTACAAAAGAACAATATGTTATTATTTTCTATTTTGTTAATATTTTACCTTATCAAAAAATCTTGTTTTGTGACGTAAGTGCACCAATACTTGAAATTCGAGTAATTGCAGTCTCAAAACCAGGGTATGTTTCAAAAACGCGACATGAGCTGAATTGCTGCAATTGAAGTTGATATTTCTTGTTTCAATAAATAGTTTTAGCTATTTCTTATAAATATATGGTGTAGTTTTGTTCAAATCGGCTTGGATTTAAAGATATACACACTTGAAAAAATAACTTTGCAGATTTGGCCCTGCATTTCTAACACTAGAAATGTTAGAAATGTGCCAAGTATTATATGTTTTGGAACTAATTTCCCCTGAATTAAAGGATATATAGACGTAACTTTAAGTGACCTTCCATTTGACATGTCCGATTCACAACCTTACCCTTGAAAGTTTTGTCTAATCAAAAATGAATGTGAAATCTATGATTGACTTCTGGGTTTCAAAACTACAGAAGTGTCAATTAAAAGTACACCGCCATCCCTTAACTCCAAAAAGGTTTCTGAAAAAAAAATTTACGTTTACCGATTTAACTGTTTCACAATTCTAACTAAGTTGCAGAACTCATTTGTTTGAAATATCAACGGTCTGACAGTAACAAATCAAATTGCAAAGATGTAAGTATAAGAAAAATAGATTTTGAGGCGAGCCATGAGTTCTTTTATGAAATATGTTATATAAACATATATACGAAAACCAAATATGTTATATAAACATATATACGAAAACCAAATATGTTATATACACATATATACGAAAACCAAATATGTTATATATACATATATACGAAAACCAAATATGTTATATACACATATATACGAAAACCAAATATGTTAGCATATGTTGAAAAACACTTTTGCAACTTGTCAACTGTAATTTATGTTGAAAGAAGATTCAGTGTTCTCAACATGTTAAAAGTTGAAAATATTTCATTAATAATTTCTTTTAACTTTCTTTTAACGTTTAATTTTCTTTAAAAGAAAAGTTTAAATTAAAATGCTTTCAGAAAATGTCTAGATAATACCTATTTTTTTTAATACAGTGATAAACAGAAAACTCTGGAATAGGAAGTTGACTTTTAAGCTCAACTTATGACTTTAAATAGTCCAAAAAACAAGAGACCCAGTAATTGTGCAGCGTAAACAGACTTATTTCACTTAATAAGTGATTTAATAACCTTTAAATGCACTTCAGTAATGCTTAAATGTCGTCTTTATATTCTACAGTTTTCTGGTTATCCCTAGGTATATTGTTTGTTTTGCTACTTTAAACAAAATTTCTTCTTCAGATGTAATTGATATTTTCCTTAAAATGTAAAATCTGTTAGGTATTATTATGTAGTTTTGCAGAATGTTATGTTTTCTTTTTATGAAGTTTTATACAAGTATATTGTATCATTATTTGAGAGTAAGAATGTTATACAATCAAAGCCCTCTTTAATATATAATTTTGCTTGTTTTTTATGCTTTCATTCGTCGCCAGGACTAATGGAAAGAAAAAAAGAAATTTTTTTACCCGTTGGTATAAAGATTTAAAAAAAATAGTTTATCACGTCAAACTAAGGTAAAATACAGTTATGATTGTAATCTTATATGCTATTGAAGAGATGTTGAGAATTGAACAAAAAAGTTTTAAATTTTCTTTTCCCATAGTTTGGCGCAAAATCAAAACTAGGTAAGCTACGAAATCACAAAATTGTACCAGTAATACCGTATAAGTTTGAACTTCCCATTCTTTCAAGTGTGTAGAGTGTGTCATGCTTTTAAATCCCCGGGATCAACATCTTTCAAATAGGGTAAAGACATGTTTAGAAATAACAAATTAGGGACGAACAAAAAAGTTATGTTTTAGAAACGGAAAAAACGCCCGTACATGGTGACAAACCCTACCAGTTATGTTTTATTAATATATTTGAGAAATAAGCATGTGACTATGTGTGTTTTATAAATTAAAACATTTTAGATGTTCTATAGATCACGGCATACATTTAGCTGTACTGTTTTTATCTCATATACTTTCCCTATCTTTTCTTTCCCGGATAACCAAGAAAACAAATAACTGGTTTTATAAGGCTCTGCAGACTAATGAGGATGCCCTAAGCAAGGTGGTTTCATTCAATAGTAACGGTTGTCTTAAAAACTGAAAGTAAATATGAAGGATATAGTTTTTATTCGGTTTGCTTTTTGCATATAAAAATAAATATTGAAATATAACTTTCTGAATTTTTTTACAATATCAGACAGTAAAATTTAGCCCCCAAATTGATATTATCAAAAAGAGCTATAAAAAGTTGAAATCAAATGGCCTGAAAAGGGTCTAAATATAGATATCGTCGGGTAAAGGTAGAATAAAGCATTCAGTATGCTTTATGCCTGAGGACTCAGGCAGTTGGTAAAAGAGCCCCGCTTTAAACCTAAAGTGAAAGCATGTGTTGGTTAAAAAGGTAAAAAAAATGGAACAGTCAGCCTCAGACCATGATTCTTTTTGAGTTATCTCAAAAAAATCGTCAGGGGGCGGAGTTCCAGGGACCCCCCAGTCGGAATAGGGTTAATTTTTTCTGAAAACTTTAAAATATCCTTGTTTAGGCTACCTCGTGGACCAAACAGAATATGTTGAATATTTAGAGCTTTTCAGGTAAACTGATTTCTTTTCATTTATTAAATAACGAAAATATTAAATTTACCGTCACTACGACTATAATTTCTGTTTTTCTAAAAATTCATAAAAATTGCAAAATTTCAAAAATTGGATTTTGGAGATATTCTGCTTTACATTTTTGAGGGAGAAACGCGGCCAAACAAGTTTTTGATATTTAAATTAAATATGTTTTGATGTAAAAAATGAATTAAAATATAACAAAGTTGTTTATTTATTTGTCCTTCAATTTGTGTTTATTGTTGATGTGTGCTCTGTCTGTAGAATATATAGAGTGTGTAAGGTTAGAAGGCTATAAATCTAATCATCTCTGTATAGTAAATCTATTTACTAATCCACAGTCTTAGATACACCAGATATTCAATATATCTGCACTTCTCACACAGAATAGTCCTATTTACATTTAATGAAAAATATTGCTATACGCTATTCACAAAACGAACTGTAACAGAGCAAAGACACTGAAGATATTCATATTTAGAACTAGAAAAACTAGAGACCGTTACATAGTTATTGATTGACGTGACGTATACTATAAATGCGAGAACTTGTTTCTAAATTTTCTAATAAATGCATATTTTTGCAGTCTGATGGTTTAAACCATTTCAAACTTGACTTAAGACTTAATTTCTTTTCAACATATTGCAAACCAGACTTTTACTCAACCTTTTTATTACATTTTTATTTTTTTTTTTTAGGAAGAATTCGTCCCATGTGAACCCCAAGTATAAAGGAGACAGATTTTATCTAAACAATCTTAGTTTTGCCGGTCCTGTAGTTATGGGCATTGGAGGTAGAACCTTAAACTATTTATAGCTAATTGTCAAACAGGTTTAGCATTCAGCTATTTAAACCTTTGTCTGATCAAAGATGAATAAGATAAACTTCTTTTTAAACTTGCTGCAACTTTGCAAGCTTCTTGTTTTCAAATGTGGGATATGTGTAAAAAGTATCTTGGCGATTTTAACAAGTTTAAAGAGGTTTAAATGGTAGTTTTTAAATCGAACATATCACTCTTTCAGTGTAGGGTTATTAATGATTACATCTCTACAGTTCCTTTAACAGAAAAAGGCATTGTCAATAATTCTGTATTTTCAATATTTGCCCAACCTCTGTAAATATCTTTTGACTTATATATGATAATATATATATATACAAGAGATGTCTGATAAAACAATTATTATTTTGTCTGAGGGAAGCCAATGAAAAAAAACACTCATGCATGATATATACTGGGCATCATCAATATTGGAATTACGCCAACAACCTTTTTGTGGTTAGAACGTTAAACTTTAAATCAAAGAAAATATTGCAATCAAATTTAAAATCGTCAATACGATTCTGACCGGACGATTACTTATCGGAGGCATTATAATATTAGCCAAACAAATATATAATGTTCCATCACATTTCAATTCATTATAGAAAATTATTTTTATAAAGATCAAAAATTAATTAAGATAAGGCCAAACAACTGTTACACTTCTTTATGTCTTTGGATATAACTTAATAACTTAATTTTTAAATGAGTTCAACATTTTTTATTTCCAAAAAAATGAGGTGAACTTTTTAATTAATTTTTTTTTGGGCCTATGAAGTAATTACTCCTAGATTAAATCTTCTAATCAAAACTGTACTGTAGATAATGGCAATATATTTAGTAAACCAGGAGGGTATCCATGGATTTTTTTGGTAAGAACAATGTGAAAGCACCCAAGCTACCTTTTTTTGGTTATTATGGTTTTTTTTTACTGCTCAAGTCACTGCACATTGACAAAACTTCTACATGAAAAAATCAAATTAAATAAAATTTCCCTTCCCAACAAAGATTTTGATAAAATATGTGGTTTTTTTATTTTAGCCATTTAATAAAGGTTGCATTTAATCCGAAAATGTTACGACATTTGCATATTCACTCACAACACAACCAAAACACAACCAAAACTCGGCAAACTGTAGTGAATGGAGTAAATGTAGTACTATCAAACTTAAAAAAATTAATAGAATAAGATTTTTTATAGTTTTAAAAATATGCCAAAATTTCTCAATTCTAAAGATTACGTCAAGTTGATTTTTGTATTATGTGGATGTCCTACTGCACTTTTATGTGAGGACCACTGTAACAATTTCACTTTTTGTGAGGACCACTGTTCCAATTTCATTTTATGTGAGGACCACTGTACCAATTTCACTTTATGTGAGGACCACTGTTCCAATTTCACTTTATGTGAGGACCACTGTACCAATTTCACTTTATGTGAGGACCACTGTACCAATTTCACTTTATGTGAGGACCACTGTACCAATTTCACTTTATGTGAGGACCCCTGTTCCAATTTCATTTTCATTTCTGTTAAAGATTAATCCTTTTCCATTGTAAAAGTGAACAGAGGGTTCTGCTTCAGGTTCACATTTTATTTATTGAATACACACTACTTACCCCCATATATCACAGTAACATATTGGAAACTAAAATATTACTGAAATACTAAATATCAATTTCTCTTATTTTTTCAATGTTTTTTTTAACAAAGGCTATACATTCAATCTTGATTGTTTATGTATACTTTTCTTATTGGTTTCATTAAGAATGAAAAATTATGAGATTACATAGTACAGATATATGCATAGAGTTCTGGATATAAGTGCTACAAAGTTGAGGTTCTAAACTCACTCGCTGCAATAAAAAGTCCATTTTATTCAGGATTCATATTGGTACTTTATAACTTTCTCACATTCAACGAAATGTCTTATTTAATTCATATTGTGCATTTACGGTACAAAACAACATTGAAAAAACATTATCTATATGGTCTAAAGAATTTTGTTCTAAAGTTGTGATATATTATCATATAATTATCTAAATGTGCTTAATTGCACAATGCGCATCTTTCTTTGCTGTAGGTATAAAAACAACATTTCTGATTCACGCTACCATCATCATTTTAAAACTAGACTTAACCCTATTCCTGCTGGGGGGGGGGTCAATTTAACCCCCCCCCCTGTAGTTTTTTTTACATAACTCAAAAAGTATTGGTCTGAGGCTGTTGAAATTTTCTGACTTTTCCTACATACCCAAAGCCCTCCCTTTAGGCCTAAAACCGGGCTTTAATACTAACTGCCTGAGTCCTCAGGCACACTGCCTGAATGACTGCTTTTTCCTGTAACAAGCTAAATCTTTGTTTTGACCCACTTCCACTTGTCAGATTTTGATAAAATTTAGCTTTTTGGAAAGCCTTTGACATAAGGAAACAAATTGCACAAGTTTTGCGAAAAAAATGCAAATTTTTTGCAAACAACCTGTCTAAGGAAATTTGCACATTTTTAGTTTTTCTAGATTAAAAAACAGGTTATTTAAAATTTTGCTAAATTTTTTGCATATTTGAAATGGCATGGTCATGGGCTTTTCAAAAATGTATAATTTTTCATTTTTTGGACAAAATTTTTTTTGCAAACATCCTTACTATATAACTGGATTTTGCGATAAAAAATTCAATTTTTGCAAATTTTTTTTGCAGATTCTAAAAGTAGAGCACAAGAGCTTTCCAATGGTGTATCATTTTTCATATTTGGACATCAAACATGGGATTTAGAGGGGGAGAGGGGTCAAATTGACCCCCCCAGCATATCCTGGTTTTCAAGTACCCTAGCAGAGATAGGGTTAAAACGTTTTAAGAATTTCCTTGCAATTTTTTCTATGATTGCAAATACCCCTGCCCCCCACCTTCCTTTTTATCTTTTATGTTCAAATCTTTTAATTTCTAAACTCTAGGTGATTAGTTGACGAATATTAGAAACTTCACAAATATTTACATTTTTTGCCGAAAATTTTATATTCTTAATTTAATTAATACAATGACAAAATTATCATTTGTCTTGCATTTTGAGTGACGAAAATGTTTCTAACTCTTACCGTTTCCCGTTATACACCTCCCTCCCTCCTCACTTCCCAATCACACAAATCCCTTTTCCCTTTTAAAACCCTTCTATTTGAAAATCTGTCTCCCTCTGTACTGTTACTTCTCGGATCAAAGAGGTTTTGATAATTAATTTATCAAGTTTGTTTACACCAGTCGGGATCATCAGGCAGAATAAAGTAAACAAGTCCCCCCCCACACACCCACCGGATCGTTCCTCTTGTGAAGCACCCACATTAAGCTCCCCCCCCATTTCATGCAGATGCATTGTTCGGCCTTAGATTTAGATAGCTCACACTAAACAAAGATGTAGTGGTAGGTCAAATAGGCCAATGATAGGCCGGGTGCTGTTAAAAATCTAGCTTCACCTTCAAAATTCAAAACTAGCCGGCTAGTGGGGATTGATCGTTTCCACTTTTTTTTAAAAACGATTGTTTTGTTTTTTTAAAGACGAAAAAAAGTTGAAAACGAAGGGATCGTTTCTTAAAAAATAACGATTTTTAAAAACTATCGTTTTTCGTCTTTTAAAAAAGGTCGTTTTTTTTAAAAACTATCGTTTTTGAAAATAACCCTTCGTTTACGACGACTCTTCGTAAACGTCCATTAACGACGACCCTTCATTAACGATCGTTCACGACCTTATAAAGAGAAAATACATTTTTGGTCGGAAAATCTGAGATCAGAAAATATTTGTCTCGATAAAAAAAACATTCATAACCTTATCTTCCTGAAAAAAATTAAATTGATTGTTATAAAACTAAGATTAATTAAGGATTTTTTTTTCATTTTTTGAAAGTTCAAAACGAGTGGTTCGTTTTCATAAACGATCGTTTTTATCTGAAACCGAAACAATCGTTTGTAGAAAAAAATAAGAACGAATGTTTTTTCGATCGTTTTTTAAAAACCCTAGCCGCGTGTCACGGTACAACTTACAAGGGGTCGGTCTGGTTCACAATTCAAATTAACCCTGGTCCAACGTAATATAAAAATGTATTATATTTGTATAAAATAAACAATTATCTGATGGAAGTTGAGAACAAAACAAGTTCAGCAAAATGATCAGATTATTATTTGCAATAACTTTGCATAACTATTGCAAATTGTATAATATTATGTTTTTCAAAAATGTTTAAAGAGATGGGTCGCAACAAATTTTATCTTTTTCCATTTAATGTAACATTTCCTTTAACATTTATCGTCCATTAAACAACACTGCTAAAATCTAGTCATTACACAGTGTATAGTAGTTTTTCATAAAAAATATTTATTAATTTTGTGTTCAGGATTTTTAATAGTTGCAGCTGTTGTCGTGCTATTTGAAGCTAAAGACAATGCAGCGAAAGTAAGTTTTTAAAATTGGGAAATCCTAAAAAAATAGTTCGAGTTATTATTTTTTTCTGAACAAAGTCTGAATAAGTTAATTTTTTCACCAAATTTTTTTTTGTTTGGATTTATTGAATTGCCTTTTCAAAATATCGATATTCCTTTTTTTACAGCTTCGTAATTTACATAGAAGGGAATATAATAATATTGATATAAAACTAACCATGGTATCGGGAAGGAGAGGATAAATGATTTATAATGATAAACTGGTTGTCAGGTTTGGCGGCAAACATTGAAAATAAATTTTCTGTTTATGTTCAGATTCTGCCCGGCCAGGGGAATGTAAACAATGACTTGAAACCAAACAACAGTATGTATAAGAAAGCTAGATTCCAAACCAGTGCTAGCCAAACTACTTTTATAGATAGGTAAGCATTCCAACATCACCGATTGTCCCTTGGGACAATTAAGTAAAATACCACCTGCTCTGAAAACAACTGAAAAAACTCGCACATACAACTACTTATTTTTCACCTAATAATTTTGGTCTTGAAACCCCTTTGTAAATTAAAATTCCCTTAACTTCCCTGTAAAGTAATAATTACAAATATACTAATTTTACAGAACAAATATATAAAGATTCCTGATATATTTTCCTTGCTTCTGTATATTTATCAAACTGAGAACTATTTTGTTGGTATTGTGAGGTCCCACGGGATGTATAATAAAAACATTTAAGTACAATCAAATAAATTGTTTCTGCCAAAAACAGTGTTTATATTTTAAATATTTTTGATTACATTTAAACATTAACCCACTAAGAAATATTGATTTTTACCCTGTTATTCAAATTTGAAGTACAAAATAGCAATCCTTCAGAGAATATATTAAAAATATGGACTTCTGAACAATCAAGTCTCAAAACCGCTAAAATATAAAATAAAAATAAAAACGTGAAAACGTGACGGCAAACCTTTCTGAAAACTAAATAGAGAATACTGAAAACTCTTTCTTTTTGAATTTTTAATTTTGCATTTACTATTTCTCCATATTTACTATTTCTCCATATTTACTATTTCTCCATATTTACTATTTCTCCATATTTACTATTTCTTCATATTTATTATCTATTCAGAGATATTCTAGCTGTGTTGACAGAATCCTCGAATCCTAGCAGAAAGCACAGTTGTCATCAATCAGTTTCCAGCGGGATCAAAAAGGTGAAAGCCGCAACTGTTTTTTGGGGGTGGGGGATTTTTTAGTGAGATGGAAATGAGGCGCACTGAATCTGCAGGGGAAGAGTTTGTTTGGCTGTAAAATAAGATCGTAGAATTTTAAGATTTTCTCATTAAAACGAAATTTTTATTTTATGTCCCTGTTTTGCCCTTTAATTTATCGTTTTCATGAATCCTTTAGGATTTGTAACACAAAAATATTTAGTCATGCTATTCTTTTATAAAATGTTGGGGGGTTAGAACGGTTTTGCTTCATTAATGGAACTGTAAGCATAATTGTAACTGACCCCTCCATGCAGATAGCAATTTCCGAATTACAACATTACAGTACCCTTGAAACCTTAATCTGATCAAACACTTGAAAGATAAAGATTAAAGATTTTTATTTCTGTGAATTTCTCCTTCCATTGTTTCTTAAGAAATACACAAGTAAATTCTTCAGAGAACCCACAAACAAACATGACCAGCTTATTTAAACGTATAAAATTGTGTAAACGTTTAAACAGCGTTAGGACATTACATAGAAAGACCATAGAAAGACAATTCATAGAAAGACAATTCATAGAAAGACAATTCATAGAAAGACAATTCATAGAAAGACAATTCATAGAAAGACAATTCATAGAAAAACAATTCATAGAAAGACAATATTCATAGAAAGACAATTCATAGAAAGACAATTCATAGAAAGACAATTCATAGAAAGACATTTCATGGAAGGACATTTCTTTGACTGACATTTCATAAATAGGACATTTCATAGATAGAGGAGATGTTTTATTTACGAAATTTGTTTTCTTCGATTTTTCATAGACAAGGGAAAATGTAAAAAAAGTGCTCCCAATAAATTTATTACATTACATACAATACATATGAAGATTACAATTTATTCATTTAAACGTAGCTTACCTTTTATAGATTTTTCATAGACAGGAAAAAATGTTCATAGACAAGGGAAAATATGAAGATATAAAGAAAATAAAAGAAAAAAATATCATTTGTAAACAAAAAATCTCCTTTGTCTATGGAAAATCTTCTCTGGCTATGAAATGTCTTTATCTATGAAATGTCTTTATCTAGAAAATGTCCTATCTATGAAATGTCTTGCTACGAAATGTCTTATCTATATTATTGTTATCTATGAAATGGCCTATCTTTGATATTGTTATCTATAAAATATCTTTCAATAAAAAGTCTTTCTATGAAATGTCCCAATGCCATATAAACAAATAAATGCTATAAATAATTCATACTTGATCAGACGAAGCTTTTAAGGGTGCCATTGTGAATCAAGAATAGCAATCTTTGCATGATATATTACTTGAAATAACACCTACAGTCCTTTAAGAAAGGTCAATAAGAACAATAGTTTTTGTTAGAAGATTGTTTCTTGTGTTCTATTGTCCCGTGCTGAGAATATGAAACACAATAAAAGATTAACATCACAAAGGAACTAGAGGAAACCCATTAAACAGAACAGTGCCACTCATTAAGGTTTAACACATCTATATCCTTTACCTTCTACCTTCTACCTTCTACCTTCTACCTTCTACCTTCTACCTTCTACCTCCTACCTTCTACCTTCTACCACTTACCTTCTACCTTCTACCTTCTACCTTCTACCTTCTACCTTCTACCTTCTACCTTCTACCTTCTACCTTCTACCTTCTACCTTCTACCTTCTACCTTCTACCTTCTACCTTCTACCTTCTACCTTCTACCTTCTACCTTCTACCTTCTACCTTCTACCTTCTACCTTCTACCTTCTACCTTCTACCTTCTACCTTCTACCTTCTACCTTCTACCTTCTACCTTCTACCTTCTATTTGTTAAAAATTGTTTAACAAAAATATTGAACGATGATATTGGGGTTTTCCATGCATTTTAACATAATAGGAGGGCGAGAGGTTGACCTCAATTGTCAAAGAAAAAACATTTGCTATAATATCTTTCCAGTCTTGTAATTATTCCAGTTTTTAACAATATCCCCAAAAGTTAGAAAATCATTTCGATAAAAAATTTTGAATGAATTTCAGAAATATATTAAACTTTTCAGGGCAAAAAGAATTTATGAGAAACAAGATTTTACAAACGTGTGAATCTAAATGAGAGCAGACATTTTGATTAAGATCCTTGCTACATTAATCTTCTAAACATAATTGTTCACTTCCTCAACTTTATAAAGAACATTTGTCATCTCTAGATTTTTAGATTTTTCTTCTTGTTCAGTTTTATTCAATAGAAACCAAATTATTCACAAGACACAGTGGACACCTATGTACCTCGGATATATTCTTACTTATTTATGCTAGAAATCTATTCCTCACTTCCTAGGCATTTCGTGGCTTTAATCATAGATAAAGATATATTGCGAATAAGACGACATTTTTTATCTTAAAAGATATAAATGTACAGAGATGTCTTAAAGATATTCCTATTAAATAGATTAACTAGGTCGGTTGTGAACATTGGCTGTTTTTATGTCATTTAGTACTTGTGGTGTACATGAGTTCTGTAGAGAGAAATTTAAGTTAGTTTAGTCCTTCTCATGTCCTTCTTCAGTTCTCGTCAATGTAATATATTGCTCAGTGAAATATTGTTGTTCAAATAGTTCCTGAGTGGTTTAATAATTATGAAATCAATTAAAACACCAAACCACCCCGCTTATCATTGAAGTACACTTTGACACCTAGAAGTATGAGTTCGCGGACTGTACAATTCTTGGTGATTTTGCGTACATATGCTATTTATGTTTATTTATTTATCTATGGTTTTAACTTATAAATGTTCAGCTCAAGCATATACAGGGTTATACACACAAATGATGAGACTGTAAAGACGACTTAAAACTCTTCAAATATGGCGATACCAAGTTTAAATTAAGTCTTCTGCCTTGAATTTGTGTGGACCGGTACGAATTCAGTAGAGCTATTATAACCCCTGACATTTTGAGAAGATACTGTACAATAAAAAGTTTCCTTTATTGACGTAATTAGGGTCCATTTAACTGAGAAGGAATTTCTTTAATAACTACTAGCTGAAGTGCCTGGCGTTGGCCGTGAAAAAAAAATTTGGATTAAAAAAATTCCAAATTATGTTTAATAATTATATGATTTTTAATGTTGCCATATGTTAACTCCAGGGTACCCATGTGTTTCCGAAAAAAATGTCAGCACATTTGGCTAAGTGAAAGTGAAAATTGCTACAGTTTGCAGAATTATTTATGGAGTGTAAGATTTAAGTATTCACATTTTAATGTTTTAACATTCAACATGGACAAGTACGTTTTTCTCTGTCTGACACGGAGCTGTGCCGGAATACATTCTCTGTTTTATATCTGACCCGATACAAAGTTGAAGGGTAGGAAGACAATATTACGCTTGGATACAGTTGGATACAAATTTATAACAAACATACATACAAATATGCGAATTGCAAGAATGTAAGGCAAGGAAAGTTTATTGCGGTCGTGTATACTCTGCGTACATATTGAAACCAGTTCTCTTTGGGCGGAATTTGTAAACGAGAACAGATCAGTAAGTGTTCGTTTAGTATCCGAGGAGGTTAAAATTATTCAATTTTGAAAATTTTGATAATTCAGATAATAGTTTCCTATGACCAGAATATTTCATCGATTTTTTATGTGAAAGATTGATCCCATTTCAGGCTTCGACATCCGTCTTGTGTTTACATTACCGCCCAGAGAGAGTACACTGCAGTACAAAAGATGTACACTTCTGATAATAACTTATCTTGCCTTACAATCCTTGCGAATATGCAAATATATACATATGTATATAAGTAAAGAGCTTTATTATATAGATTATTCTTGTTTAGTTAAGCTGCAGTTCCATCCATCTACCTCTTAACTCTGGTTCAACAGTTATACCTGAACTCAGTAGTTCAGCTAGACAAGCTCTTACATTGGCTTTCATCAACAGGAACCATCATAGATAGATAATTTTTTCTCCTTCTAATATATCAATACATCCTATAGCTCAGTTTCTCTTCCTCTCCTTATTTTATAAAATAACCACACGGTTCTGAAAATTAACGAAAAGTAACTGATGCTGTTTTTGAATTTGGATCACTGTTCTAAGTCTATATTACAATTAAATTTTCTAAATCGTAATTTTGGTTTTATAAAAATAAAATGCATAATTATATTTGAATTCTTGAGGAATACAGAACAATTTACAAGTTCCAGGTTTTAAGTAAACTGTTTAAATCAATTTAGTTCTTCTAACTATCTTCAAACTTGAAATCCCCTGGATTAGGTGTTTAGACAAATTATACAGTGTCTCCTGATAAACATTTATTCTCATTTTGAAATAGTTTAAATCATTTAACACTTTTATCGCTATACATTACATTTTAGTTTTTTATTACAATTACTAAACAAAATATTAAGTAAAATAAAATGAAATCGCATTGATATTTTACGCAATAATATATAAAATATAAATATATATAATATACATATATATATATATATGAAATATATAAAATAATATAAAATATCATTCAAAAATATAGTTTTATATATTTGAAATCTAACATGGTTTGATTGATAGGGAGGAAGGGTCGAGAATCCATAAATGTCCTTCAGCTCCTTGTATACCATCCCTTGCATCTCCAGGTATATTTACCATGCCTTTCAATCGTATTCGCAACAGTACCAATTACCACCTTTTTGAGGAAAATATCGCTGTTTTTTCTTGAAAATACAGTTTTTTTCTCAAATTCCGTTCTTTGGTCTGCTTCATAAATCTGCAAATCACTTTTATAGAGAGCCGCAATTTTGAAAAAGAACAACATGATTTTTGCGTAGTTTAAGCAAATAATCGGAGAAGCATCTTTTCAAATGGAGGGTCACTTTTAATTACGCCGGCAGATCCTATGAATAAACAATTATTTTTAAGATTTTACAAAAGATGAAAAATTTATGAAAATATTTTTTCCAAAATAAGTGATTTCTATAAATTCCAATACTAATCAATTGCTTTCAAACTAGATCAAAGATGTTTTGCAATCTTTAAATATTTAAATATTCATTTCAGACTTTAAATCAGTAATTGCTGGCAGTTTGCACAGATATGAATGTTTGCAAAAAGACAGGTAAAAATAAAAAAAAATTTAACAATTTTGTTGAGAGAAAATTTTGCGAAAAAAATACGGGAAGAAATTTTTTTAATTATGATATAATAAAACGTCTAATGCTGAGCTCTTAGGGCAGAAAATTAATTCCACAAGTTGTTTATGCGCAATCGATTGTTGCAGCTATGGTTTTCGCGGAATTTGTTTCTTGCAAAAAGTATTTTTGTGAAATTTCACATCGTTTTCGCGTTTTTAGCTTTATTAATATTTGCGAAAAAATGCGAAATTTCGCAATTAAAAGGTTGCGAAATAAGTACGAAAATTTTCGCTTTTTTCGCGAAAGTTTTCATTAGCTGAAAACCCTATACCGGATACACTAGACGGACCTATACGGTTAAGACTGGACTGGGATCTTTGTACCGGTTCGAATCATATCATCATGATACTTTTAAACCTGCCTGTCCCGTTGTTTGCTTATCCGTATACTTTTTCAGGGTTTCCGGGAATCAGATGAGGTTGTTGACCCCGACCCTGTACAGGTCCCAGATGGCGGGGGCCAGGCAGAGCCTCAGTATGGACTGCAGCGGGGAAGAGAACCAGACTGGGGAGTGGGAGAGAACCAACAGGAACCAATACACAACTTTTACTATTTTTCAAATCCCCAAAATACCCTAATTTTCTTAATTTCAGTATATATGTTAAATAAATTGAGCCTTTGGCTCAAAGAAACTGAGTTCTTGCAACAAACTCTTGTTTTAAATCTACATATTTGTGCAACCTGATCTTGTAGACCTTTGATATTTCAAAATATAAATTTTCTTAGATCAAATAATCTAAGTTTGAAATATCAAGGTTTACTTCATCAATTTGCTAAGATCTAATGATCAGACAATTTTAGTTTGTGGCAATAACTCAGTTACTTTGTTAATCCCTATATTGAACAGGGTTAAATGGATAAGATCAGGTGATAGGAAGGAGTAAAGGTATTTAAGCTAACACAAATACTGAAGGTTAAAAAGAAAATCAGATATTAATAATTCTTAATTAATAAGATAATTTTCATTGAAAAGGAAGTAATATTCTTAAAATCCACGATTTTTCCAATTCTCACATCAATAACGCTATGACTAATAGTATCAGATCATTCTGGCTTGCCAGATAAGCAACTGTATGTATTTTTAAACACGAACCGTACAATTTTAGATATTGTCTAACTCCTAGACATTCCCACATGAATTTATTGGTATTTTCAATTTGTCACTAACTCAGAGTAAAGAATATTCAAAATGAAAATATTCTCTCTCGAATCTAAATACCTTCCCATCCGTTCTAACAAAGTTTACTGGCACATTTATATAATTCCTGACTTCTCTAACTTAGTTAAACCCGTTACACAGTTCTAGGTGAAGAAAACCTAAGTAAATGTTACCTAAACTAAGTAAAAAAACTAGATTAACTTGTTTTATTTTTTAACGATTGTCCTATCGGAGAAAATATTAATTTCAAAAGGATATTATTAAACAGTCTACAAAGTCATAGTTGTGACTTTTGAATAATTGTAGCTTTTTACAGTGCACAGAAAACTCTGAAAAAAGGAAGGTTAAAGTTAAAACTTTCAAAGTCAAATAAGCGTGAGACACACAAACTGTGCACTGTGTTACGTGTAGTGTAAAAAGACCCAGTTCACTATTAATTAGTGATTTAATAAGTGTCTAATAAAAATTTTTGCTTTGTAATAACATCAAATACACTTGAGGCCGTTTTCCTATTTCGTTGTTTTCTGGTTAGCACTGTATGTAGTATTGATAACTAGGTAACAATTGCCTGCATATAGACTGATTAATTATCGTCTATATTCTAATAGTAAGTGTGGCTTTGTCTCATGAAGAGGGTTAGTATAGCGTTTGTCTTAAATTGAATAATTGTAGTTGTGCCTGTGCAACTTCTGTATCTAATCATAGAGAATATTTGTGACTGTCTAATATGTGTCTAGCAGAAGCTAAGACCGGGATGTATTAAACAGATGTGTCAAGTTTGTTTATCTTGAATTAAATCTTAATTTATAGGGTTAAATTTGATAAAATTGAGACTGAGCAACTTATGTGTCTAAAAATAGAAGAATATTTGTGATTGTCTAATATGTGTCTAATAGAAGCAAAGACCGGAACTTATTTGTCTTATTTCAGTAGATAGATATGATTGTCTAATCATTGTCTAGTATTACAGTTGCGACTGAATTGTCTAATCATAAAACACAAAGTTTGCTAAGGATTGTACGCGTGTAGTTACGACTGAAATACAAATGGTTGAATATGGAGTGGTTTGTCATAAATTACATATTGTTATAGTGGTCATTGTGCTATACAAGTCCTATTTGATACTGGTTAATGGACTTTATAAAAGAATGGATTGTTGAGCGAGGGAGGGATGGCTGCTCTCAGGGTTTTGAAATTGCTCCCAGGGTTTTGGAGTTCTCCCAGGGTTTTGGAGTCCTCCCAGGATTTTGGAGGTGCTCCTAGGGTTTTGGAGTAAAATGTGAAAATTTATCCGATCTTTTATAAAAATTCTTTAAAAAAGGGTACTTGAAAACCGAAAATTGAAAAACGGCTCCGCTACCCCTTTCTTAATATTTTTGTTCAGATAATTACAGGAAAAAAATCGCAAATTTCAGTCCAAGTAGCCTGTGGCGATCATATAGTCTTGATTAGACAAACTGACAATATTTGTTTTAGCTTTTAAATTGAAGATTATTTGTAAATGTAAAAGAAAATATTTTTTTTTGCTAGATACATAAAGGTTTCATTTTAGTTTGTCGAATACATCTCAACATTTTTTTTTTTTTAAATGCATTTTTACTCAACACTGTTGTTCAAATGTCAAATTTAGAACCTTCTATATGGCGCGAACTATAGCAAAAATCACTAAATAAATGAGATATCTGAGGAAAGCTATGTTTTTTCTTAGTTTTCATCAGATATCTCAATAGTTTGATGATTTTTGCTATAGTTTGCGTTATATAGAAGGCTCTAAATTTGACATAGAACAATTCTAATTTTGTGAATGTAGAGTAAAAAATGCATTTTTAATGGCAACAATCAATTTAAGATTTTTTTAGGCAAAAAATTGGATTTTTTGTTTTAACAAACTTGGAAATAAGAAAACTTATATAGACGTTGAGATGAACTATGTATCTAGCTAAAAAATTTTTTTTTATATTTACCAATTATGTTTAATGTTTAAGTTAAAACAGATATTGTCAGTGTGGCTAATCAAAACTATATGATCGACAAAGGCTACCTGGACTAAAATTTGTCATTTTTTCCCAGCAAATATCTAAACAAAGACAATGAAAAAGGGGCAGCATAGCCCATTTTTAAATTTTCAGGTTTAAAGTACCCCTTTTAAAGGGACTTTCCATAAAAGGTCGGATAAATTTTCCCATTTTACTCCAAAACCCTGGAAGCAACTCCAAAATCCTGGCAGCACTCCAAAACTCTGGGTACAATTCCAAAACCCTGAGAGCAGCCACCCCTCCCTCGTTGAGCTACAGTATCTATATAAAATCTGTGGTAGATGGAATACTGTTTGTATAAAATCTCAGTATTATGGAGAGTAAACATGGTTAATATTGGCCTGGAGGGAAAAAGAAACTATAAAACTAAGAGAACCATGAGAATCTATTAGATCCTGGAAACTTTAAAGAAACTAAGGATATTTAGTGTATTTTGGAAACCATTCGAGAAAATTAGTGGATCTTTAGAAAATATTAAAATACAATTAACTTACACACACATCGAAGATATAAAAAAGCCAAAACATAATTTTAGTAAAGGAGAACTAGAAATGCTTCACCCAAACTTAAAACTAAGGATTCATAGAACCAGAGAAACTCAGGATTTATAAATCTAGAGAAAACCAAGAATCCAGAGAGCCAGATGAAATTAAGGATTCAGAGAACCAGATAAAAATCAGGATCCATAGAACCCGAGAAAACTAAGGATTTATAGAACCAGAGGAAAATAAGGATCAAAAGAACCTGAGGAAACTAAGGATTCAGAGAACCTGAGGAAACATGGGATCCATAGAACCAGAGGAAACTAAGGATCCACAGAACCAGAGGAAACAAATGATCCAGAGAACCTGAGGAAACTAATGATCCAGAGAACCAAAGAAAACTAAGGATCCGCAGAAAAAGATTTAACTAAGGATCCATAGAACCAGATGAAGCTAAGGATCCAGAAAACCAGAGGAAACTAATGATCCACAGAACAGGATTGAACTAAGGATCCAAAGAACCAGATAAAATATGGATCCAGAGAACCAGATAAAATATGGATCCAGGCAACCAGATTTAACAAGAAATGCAAAGAACCAGCGAAAACTAATGATCCATAGAACCAGAGGAAACTAAGTATCTATGGAACAAATGAAAACTAAGAATCCAGAGAACCAGAGAAAAATAATGATCCAGAGAAATGCAGAGGAAAGTCTGGATCTATAGAACCATAGGAAACTAAAAATCCGGAGAGCCAGTGTAAACTAAGGATCTAGAAAACCAGAGGAAACTAAGGATCTAGAGAACCAGATGAAACAAAGGATCTAGAGAACCAGAGGAAACTAAGGATCTAGAGAACCAGAGGAAACTAAGGATCTAGAGAACCAGAGGAAACTAAGGATCTAGAGAACCAGAGGAAACAAAAAATCCAGGGAAACCAGGTTACTCATGGACACCAGGGAAACTACAGAAACCAGGGAAACCAGGGAAACCACGAAACCAGGAAAACCAGGGAAACCAGGGAAAACGGGGAATCCAAGGAATCCAGGGAATCTAGGGAAACCAGGAAAACCAGGGAAACCATGACCAGGGAAACCAGGGAAACCACGAAAACCTGGGAAACCAGGGAAACTAGGGAAACCAGGACAACCTGGAAACCAGAAAGCCCGCAGCTCTCTGGCCTGTACTTTAATGTTAAATGAGTATATATATGTATGTTTCCAGTATAATATCTGGTATTGACAGTATTCTATATTCTACACAGACAACTGCAGAACAAACTTTATTGCAACGGAATTGGTATGGAAAGAGTTCTATATATATATATATGTATATTCCTATACTTTTCAAAACATTTCTGAAAAACGGATAATATAAACAAATCAATTTTTTGATAAGTAGACATTTTCTTAGTAGAAAATATATAATATGGGTTAATTCAAAAGGTACTGTTGGGAATCGGACATGGCTCTCTGGTAGAATGGGAGTTTACTTGAAATTACATATTTAGTCCCACTACGGTTGCATAATTTTAGTTTATAGGAGATCAAATATAATAGTTCATTATTTTTTGCGTTATTAGAGTAGAGGGTTTCTAAGCGCAAAATTTTTTTTTTTTATTTTAGAGAAGTTTGACCAAATCTTGAAGAAAATTGACCTGTCTTACAAAAAGAAAGTTTGAATGTTAATTATCAAAAAAACAAGAATTTAAGAAAATGCTAATCTTTACATGGGGTAATATTTTTCGTGCGCAATCTTACGCAAAATTGGTTTTATTCTTCTTATACCTATTACAACAGAGACACTGGAAAATACAAGGTTATAATGCAAGGAAAGTTAATTGAAGTTCCGTATACTCTGCGTACATATTGAAATTTGTAAGCAAGAATAAATGCAACAGTGTTCGTTTAGTATCCATGGAGGTTAAAAGCATTACATTTTGATAATTTTGATAATTCACATAATAGTTTTCTATGAGCAGAATAGTTATTGATTTTACACGTGAAAGATGGATCCCATGCCAGGCTTCGACAACCGTATTGTGTTTACATTACCGCCCAGAGACAGTACCCTCCAGTACAAAAGATGCATAAACCTATGAATAATTTTCCTTACATTATAACCTTGGGAAAATACAACTTTTTTGTTTTGGCTTTCAACAGGATAAATGTTGAATTTGTACAGATAATTTATCCAACTGCAGATCAAGCTTTGTGGTATTATTTCGCAGATTGCGAATGAACCCTAAGTGGGAGTGGGGAGTTTGAAAAATTCATTTGTTGAAATCGATGCTGCCCTGTTGGTTCTATTTAAAGTTTTAAAGTTAAAACAAGTTTCTAATTATGAATACTTTTATACAAGAAGTGTGCACCTAGAGCTCTTAAGGGAAAGATAAATTAATCAAAAGTTTTATGAATCAGAAGAAAGATAAAATAAATGATTCAATATCTATCAGAGAGGGTTTGAGTTAAACTGACAAAATATGATATGAAAGAAAACTCTATTTCAATTGAAATATTAACCTTTTTATTTGGAGAGATTACTTCAAAGAAAGATTTCTATTACAGGAGATAACCCTTAAGACTTTCTGAACATAGTTGAGACATTTCTAAATCTTAATGGACAATATTAGTCAAAAGATTTTCTGGTATTGTTTACTTATGGTTTTCTATAAAATGTAGAATTTGTAAACAAGATTTCAGAAAAAAAACAAAATAGGGTATCTTGTAACTAATTAAGGTAATAACCTTTTTACCCCGAACTAACTATAGTGAGAAACATTCCGTTTCTTTTATTTGAAATCAAAAGTTGTTTGGTCTATACTTTTTCATTAAAAATATATATATGCCTACAAAAAAGTATTTAAGAAAAAAGTCTAAAAAATTATGTATAATGGATCAAATTGTTTTCAAAAGTTACAGCTTTCTGAAATTTTGACAGAACCGTTAAATCCACGTGTATTGTATCATGAGCTTGTATTGGTTAGGAGAGATATCTAGTATATGAGCTTGTATTGGTTAGGAGAGGTACCTAGTATATGAGCTTGTATTGGTTAGGAAAGGTATCTAGTATATGAACTTGTATTGGTTAGGAGAGGTATCAGTATATGAGCTTGTATTGGTTAGGAGATGCATCTAGTATATGAGATTGTATTGGTTGGAGAGATATCTAGTATATGAGCTTGTATTGAAAAGTAGAGGGTATCTAGTATATGAGCTCGTATTGGTTAGGAGAGGTATCTAGTATATGAGCTTGTATTGGTTAGGAAAGGGTATCTAGAAGCTGGACGAGCTGATGACTCATTAGATCTTGAACTTGGAGCTTCAGCTTCTGGAGTTCAAGGAAGGAAAATATTAGAGAATTCTTCCAGACAAAATTCAACCAGAAGAGGTTCAGGTATTTTTATAGATATTTTCTACGGAATCCAAACTGAGCAGTCAACGAATTGAGTTTTTACCACAAACTCTGATTGCAACCCAATGTCCCGAACCCAATTCAGATCTTTCTAACTATGAATTCTGTTAGAACAGATTACCTAAGTTCAAAAGATATCAAACGTTTAAACTATCAGGTTGCAAAGATATAGTAATTTGAAATTTGAGTTTGTGTCAAGGTCTCTATAATATATAACAGTAAGTCATGGGGTTGAGTCAACTAAGAACTGAGTGGAATTTTCAGTTTGTCTTATCAGCTTAACTCTTAATTCAAAAGATTTCTGAAGGATTTGTAGCTAATTTTCATTTCATTCAAAAGTTCTCAGCTATGTTAAACAGAAAAAAGATAAATTGTATCGAGTATCTTCTCTCGATCCATCCAACTTTGATTTTATGTGATTTAACCAATAATGTTTTTAGATCAAAAGTCATCCTGGTAAATCTCTTTTTTACAAGAAAGTTAAAACACAAGAAATATTTCTCGAACATTTTACAAAGTATAAAATATTTAAAAAAAATACAATTGTGTGTATTCAAAATACTTTAAGTTTTCCTGGTGTGTTTTGAAAGTTGAAAAGCAAGTTTAACAAATTAACCAACTTTGTAAACACAGGGATAAACCTGATGCTGCCTAGTTTAACTTCAATTAACATAATTTTAATCTTTTAGATCTGGAAAATTCATTTTAGTTTATAAATTCGTCCAGCTACCAGACCGCACACAAATCTTTCTACTTTTTTAGATTTTGAGAAAAACTTGTGGAAAATAATATTGTGGATTTAGTTAGCTTGATTTGAGTTGAAAGTTTCGACATAAATAGGTTTATTTTGAGCCACAGAACGATATAATCAAACTTTAACTATCCCTATTAAATAGAAATTGCCCGTAAAGGACATTTTTATTTATATTTGGTTTAAAAATAAAGTTCAAGTTATTCTAAAATCTGCAGAAATGTTAATTGTTTCAGATTCTAGCGAGAGCTCTCTACGTTTAGATCTTCATGTTACTGGTTGTGCTCCAGTTACTTTACTTGTCAGGTCAGTTTTTACTTGTCGAAAAAATGTTCTAAAAGAAAGTGCTGTTTTCCGGATTTGAAGTAAAAAAACAGCATTTTTTTATTTGTGTTGTTAATAAATACCAAATTCTTTTAATATTCATGACTTGTGTTTAAAGAAAATATATTCCCAAGAACTTTAAAATAAACGACATTTAACAAGTCCGAGAAGCGCCAAAGAATTTCTGTTTTTCATTTATTTCTTAGTGTCTCTTAGACTGCAAAAGTCCAAATAGTCCGATATAATCCATATTATATTTCTTGTTTTTCTTCTTTGGTTGTCAATTGTTTTGTGTAACCTTAAATGATATATGTACTGTAATTCTCATGAGATGTAACATATACACAGGTGTTTTTTGAGAGGATAAAATAAGCATGACCAAAAATGTAAGGCAAGGAAAGTCAATTGCGGTCGTGGATACTCTGTGTACATATTGACACCAGTTCTCTTTGGGCGGAATTTGTAAACAATAATAGATGCATCAGTGTTCGTTTAGTATCTGAGGAGGTTAAAAGCATTAAATTTTGATAATTCACATAATAATTTCCTATGACCAGAATATTTCATTGATTTTTTATGTGAATGATGGATCCCATGGCAGGCTTCGACATTCGCCTTGTGTTTACATTAGCGCCCAGAGACAGTACACTGCAGTACTAAAGATGTGTACACTTCTGAAATGACTTTCCTTGCCTTACAATCCTTGAGCATGACTGACTTTCTTTAAGTTGAAAAAAAGAAAATAGTTAGAAATTCTGTTAGAAATGATGCGCGAAATTGATAGTAAATGATTCACAACCATGATCATGCTGGAGCCAACTCAGGGGGGGGGCGAAACTCAGTTCACCTCCCCCCCAAGCTGCGCTACTGAGTGCATTATAGTACATTACAGTACGTTAAATTGTATACCAACACAGTACTGCAGTACAGTACAGTACAGTACAGTACAGAAGATTTTCTTTAATGATAACATTTTATCTGGTTATTTCGTCAAGTTCCTGTTCAACAATCTAGATCAAAAATATCAAAACTAGAAAAAACTCTTATCTAGATGTTTTTTTAGATTGTCATTAATTGTGCTTTTCTTTTATTTCCAATGAAAATTTATGGTTTCACTTTCCTTTTTCCGGATTAAATTATCTTTTTTTCTGATAGAAGAACTTTAACCTAGCATCTAGCTGCAGAGCTGAGCAAAATATAATTCTTCTGATCCACAATACTTTATTAGAGTAGCTGTTCATTGATAGATTAAAGGGACTGTAAGCGTAATTTAAAGCAACCCTCTCTGCAAAGATTTACAAAGCTTTACCCTTAAAAGTTTTGGCTTTAAAAAAGATAATAATTTTTAGTGGTAGTTTCTCTACAAATGTGTCTTGCGCATTTCAACCGCAGTAAGAAATTTTGGAATTTTAACAATTGAACACTTTTAAACCTAGAAAAACAACAAAAGAAATTCCATACTATACGAAGGTTTCACGGGGCATTGCCATCTTCGCATGTAGGGTCACTTGAAATAAAGCTTAAAGTCTCTTAAAAAATAATTTATATCATCTTCAAAACCATGAGAAATTAAAAATCCCACATTATTGTTTACGATATATCAAATGTGAACTGCAGCTTCTTGGAGGATTGTAAACAAAGCATAAGTAGTTGAGTGACACTCGATGCTAATGAAACTATATTTGAGGTTTATGGATCTATAGGTGGCTGATGTGACCCAATATGAGCATTTTGTTTAGGTTAATCGGAGGTTTGAATTAGATGCAAATTAGATGCAAGTCGTTTAATTTTTTTTTTATTTTTGTTTGAGGTCAATGACCTCCGATCCCAAATTTTCTTTATGATCCGTGTAGAGTGCTTTACATTTGGAGGCTGCACGCAAAATCTCAGTCTTTTATTCCAATTTTATAATAATCAAATGCCGACTGTAAAAATTTGATGTCAAACAAAGTCGAATTTGCATTTGGCCCCAAGGTCATAAAGTTAAAGAAAAAGTTTTTTTTTACCTTTCAATACTAAGGGCTGACATCACCCAGAAAATGCATGTTTTGATCTTATGACTTTCACTTCTTCGTTTGTCACTCTATTGAACAGCTATAAGACATTTTGCTCAATTTTCTCAGAAAGTTCAGTTCACTTTTTAAAAAATATTTTCAAATTTTCCTCTCTCAAAAAACTAAAATCTTGAGTTTACTCCATGTTGGCCTCCACAATATAAACACAGTTTCTAAAAGTGACATGAACAATGTAGTAGTATAGTCTGTAGTGCAAACAACAAAATATCTTAATCAACATCCAGGCTAGTTAAGACAAAACGTGTTTACAGGCATTATATAGTTTTTCTCTCATATTAAAAAATATTTTTGGATGGATTGTTTACATGATTTGGTTGGCATAGTTTTTTCCTTTTTGAATTTCTTTTTCATTTATGTTCGAATTTTCTTTTTCTCATGGTTGTTTCACAATATTTAATTTTCTTTTATCTTTTCTTGAGACGAAATTCCAGTTCTTTTGAGGCTTTGACATTAATGGTTATCCTGAGAATATACAGGTTTTCAGAAGTTTTCTTTATTTTTGACAAACGTTGTTTTTTTTGGATTCAAACTTATACAGAGTAACTGTGCCTTGTTTTGTACATAGCGCAATGTATTCAATTTTCTGCAAATAAAAAATATACAAGGAAAACCTTGTTTACAATTAAATTGTACTGAAGTTTCCAAAAACTGCAGTACACATGTTTGTAAACAGAGTTATTGGAGGCCCCTTTTTCGAAAGAATATTTAAAAAGAATAAAAAAGAAAGCAAAATTTTCAACCACATAAACCTGTTTTGTTTGCACTTAGCGAAAATTAAACCTAGAGGATCTACGAGGTCACAAAGTCGTACAAGTAATTTTTACAAATTTTCCTTTTGTCAACTTTGAAGTGATTTGCCGGGTTTTTATATCAAACTGTTGTTTAAAAATTGTGCCACCACTTGTTTCAACTTTTCCCCTCCACCCTGTTTAATGTTTTGTTTTGTGCAGAGATGAGTCGAGATCAGCAAAATCCTCTGAACCCCGAGATAGTCTAGTCAGGTCTCCTGTCTCCCCTTTCCTCACTAGAAAGGTGAAAATACAACAAATAAATGATTTATTTATGGTTTATGTAAGTCAATGTTTGTAAAGCTAAGGTAAGGGAGATATGGTTTGTATGTATTTAGGTTTATGTAAATCAATGTTTGTAGAGCTAAGGTGAGGGGGATATGGTTTGTATGTAATGTTTATTTATGTCAATGTTTGTAGAGCTAAGGTGAGGGGGAAGGTTTGTATGTATTTAGGTTTATGTAAATCAATATTCTAGAGCTAAGGTGAGGGGGATATGGTTTGTATGTATTTAGGTTTATGTATGTCAATGTTTGTAGAGCTAAGGTGAGGGGGATGTGGTTTATATGTATTTAGGTTTATGTAAGTCAATGTTTGTAGAGCTAAGGTGACCGGGATATGGTTTATATGTATTTAGGTTTATGTATGTCAATGTTTGTAGAGCAAAGGTGAGGATGTATTGTATAGGTTTATGTAAATCAATGTTAGAGCTAAGGTGAGGGGGGGATGGTTTGTATGTGCTTAAATGTAACATATTAAGACTGTTCCTACATTGGCTTATAGTGAATTAACACTTAGTTCTACACACATTGATTATTCATCTGATCGGATACGCATGTAGAAAAGCTAAAATTTGAAATTATTTTTAATTTCTTTTTTCATCCTCATCAGTCCAAAAAATAATGCCTCCGATTTTACAGCAGATATCTTTTCTCTCATGGTTTATTTATGGCCTCCGAGTTTTTCCATTTCGTTAAAAAGATGATTCAGCAATTTCGAAAATATATAAATAAATTGCAAAAGTATGAAGGATTAAGCAAAATTTTGAATATCCATTCTTTCCGTTCATTCATTTTTTTTCATATTATCCTTAAAATATTAAGACTTTATTAATATTCTTAACCCTGCAGCACGTCAAACTAAAGTTAATTGCACTTAAAACTGAAATTTTATATATTTTCGGCAAGAATACAACAACCTCAAAAAAGTGTACGCTAAACAGTTAGAGCTGAAAGCTTTTTCAAACAAATTTAAACACAACCCCTATTTTCTCTTGTCATTACCCCCCAACATACGTCTTTCATCTTTCTTTCATTCTTCCCTTTTCTTTTTTCATTCCTTACCCATTCTTCCTATTTACCTCTTTCATTTTTCCTTCTTTCTTCTTTACAACTTCCTTGTTTTCCTCTTTCGTTCATCCTTATTTACTCTTTTTCTTTTTCCTTCTATCCCCTTTCCTCCTTTTTTCCCTCTTTCTTCTTCATTCTTCCTTTTTCTTCATTCCTCCTACTTTTTCCTTCTTTCCACCCTCATTCTTCTCTCTTTCCTCCACAATTCTTTCTTCTTTATTTTTCCGCTTTTACTCTTTCATTCATATTTCTTTATTTTTTCATTGTTATTTCTTTCATTCTTTCTTCATTCCTCCTTCTATTTTACCCTTCTTTTCTTTTTCATACCTCTTTCTTACTTAATTCTTTCTTCCTTCTTTCTTCATTCTTTCACCTTCCCCCTTCAATTCTTCCTTCTTTACCCTTTCTATTTTTTCCTCTTTCTTCCTGCTTCTTTACTCTTTTTTCCTCCCTTACTCTTTCTTCCTTCTTTACTATTTGTTCCTTCTTTCCCTTAAATACAGGGACGACCTATACGAGATTTTTTCAGAAAGGGGGGGATAATCAAGGGAGTGTGCACAAAACCCCCCCCCAGGTATCTAGTATATGAGCTTGTATTGGTTAGGAAAGGGTATCTAGAAGCTGGACGAGCTGATGACTCATTAGATCTTGAACTTGGAGCTTCAGCTTCTGGAGTTCAAGGAAGGAAAATATTAGAGAATTCTTCCAGACAAAATTCAACCAGAAGAGGTTCAGGTATTTTTATAGATATTTTCTACGGAATCCAAACTGAGCAGTCAACGAATTGAGTTTTTACCACAAACTCTGATTGCAACCCAATGTCCCGAACCCAATTCAGATCTTTCTAACTATGAATTCTGTTAGAACAGATTACCTAAGTTCAAAAGATATCAAACGTTTAAACTATCAGGTTGCAAAGATATAGTAATTTGAAATTTGAGTTTGTGTCAAGGTCTCTATAATATATAACAGTAAGTCATGGGGTTGAGTCAACTAAGAACTGAGTGGAATTTTCAGTTTGTCTTATCAGCTTAACTCTTAATTCAAAAGATTTCTGAAGGATTTGTAGCTAATTTTCATTTCATTCAAAAGTTCTCAGCTATGTTAAACAGAAAAAAGATAAATTGTATCGAGTATCTTCTCTCGATCCATCCAACTTTGATTTTATGTGATTTAACCAATAATGTTTTTAGATCAAAAGTCATCCTGGTAAATCTCTTTTTTACAAGAAAGTTAAAACACAAGAAATATTTCTCGAACATTTTACAAAGTATAAAATATTTAAAAAAAATACAATTGTGTGTATTCAAAATACTTTAAGTTTTCCTGGTGTGTTTTGAAAGTTGAAAAGCAAGTTTAACAAATTAACCAACTTTGTAAACACAGGGATAAACCTGATGCTGCCTAGTTTAACTTCAATTAACATAATTTTAATCTTTTAGATCTGGAAAATTCATTTTAGTTTATAAATTCGTCCAGCTACCAGACCGCACACAAATCTTTCTACTTTTTTAGATTTTGAGAAAAACTTGTGGAAAATAATATTGTGGATTTAGTTAGCTTGATTTGAGTTGAAAGTTTCGACATAAATAGGTTTATTTTGAGCCACAGAACGATATAATCAAACTTTAACTATCCCTATTAAATAGAAATTGCCCGTAAAGGACATTTTTATTTATATTTGGTTTAAAAATAAAGTTCAAGTTATTCTAAAATCTGCAGAAATGTTAATTGTTTCAGATTCTAGCGAGAGCTCTCTACGTTTAGATCTTCATGTTACTGGTTGTGCTCCAGTTACTTTACTTGTCAGGTCAGTTTTTACTTGTCGAAAAAATGTTCTAAAAGAAAGTGCTGTTTTCCGGATTTGAAGTAAAAAAACAGCATTTTTTTATTTGTGTTGTTAATAAATACCAAATTCTTTTAATATTCATGACTTGTGTTTAAAGAAAATATATTCCCAAGAACTTTAAAATAAACGACATTTAACAAGTCCGAGAAGCGCCAAAGAATTTCTGTTTTTCATTTATTTCTTAGTGTCTCTTAGACTGCAAAAGTCCAAATAGTCCGATATAATCCATATTATATTTCTTGTTTTTCTTCTTTGGTTGTCAATTGTTTTGTGTAACCTTAAATGATATATGTACTGTAATTCTCATGAGATGTAACATATACACAGGTGTTTTTTGAGAGGATAAAATAAGCATGACCAAAAATGTAAGGCAAGGAAAGTCAATTGCGGTCGTGGATACTCTGTGTACATATTGACACCAGTTCTCTTTGGGCGGAATTTGTAAACAATAATAGATGCATCAGTGTTCGTTTAGTATCTGAGGAGGTTAAAAGCATTAAATTTTGATAATTCACATAATAATTTCCTATGACCAGAATATTTCATTGATTTTTTATGTGAATGATGGATCCCATGGCAGGCTTCGACATTCGCCTTGTGTTTACATTAGCGCCCAGAGACAGTACACTGCAGTACTAAAGATGTGTACACTTCTGAAATGACTTTCCTTGCCTTACATTCTTGGTAATTTTCATGTCAAAACAATGACAACTTATATATATATATTACAACACATCATTCTTTTTAATGATTTCTATGACAAGGTACATATTCCGACTGGAATCTTGGAATGTTTATGTTTATATTATAGAACCAGTATTTAATCAAAACAATGTTATATAACGCAGTACGGTTTTTATCTATCTATCTATCAAATTATTTTGAGTATCCAACAAGTTTCTGGGATAGTAAATGTTCACAATATACTCTGTGCTTTTCACTTTGATTACTTAGTTTATGATGTTGTGGTACTTCTCCATATTTTCGATCATAACTCCTCTTGTTAAAGAGTTATTGATAACAACAATGTTTAAAATGTTGTATACAGGATAATTTCTTTTCTCATACATGTTCTTAAATCGTAATTAGAGGAGCTACGAGGTCACAAAGTCGCAGCATGTCGCATACATTTCATCTTCTCCTTCTTTCTAGTTCAGTATGAAAGATGCAGTGTTATTTGTTGCTTTGTATCTATTGCCTGGGGGTTTCAAGTCCATTTGTCAAGGGCCTTATTGTTGTATATTAGTAAGTTTTTGTAAATTCATTTTAAAGATTGTCGATAAAAAATATATTTTACTTTGAATTTGTAACATTATACGAGATCCATAACCGCTCTGAAAAGCTCACTCGATATAACTTTTAGTTGAGAGTAGAGTGGAGAGAGAAAATCATATATCATTCGGAATATATTATTACAAACTTAGATATATTGTTTCCTTTGTAACCAATATTTATTCCATTTTGTTTAGAAAACAACAGAAATACAAATTATACAATTGAATTTATATTCCATTTTCAGTTCCTCTTGAGTGCAAACTATTGATAGAGCTGCTTGTTTTCAATTCAACTTTAATTTTCAGCTTTTTTGCAAACATGTTTTTTAAAAAAGAGATTATCGTTGTAAGTTAAAGTAGGTTTATATTTAAATATTCACAACGGTACCCTTTAGACTTTTATCCAGATATTATCCATGCAGTAGACATCGATTTTTACAACACCCCCCCCCCCCCCCCCCNTGTGTTCTTTTTGTTTACATTTTAAATCAAAGAAGAAAAAAAAATTTTGCGGATTTTTAAAACAAAATTCACGGATTTTCAAGAATTTAAATTTTTTTACAAAATTAAAAACCTTTAAAACACATTTTTTAAAATTTTTATCATTCATAAACCTTCCCTGTGGTCACGTGATGTCCCACAAAAATTTGGGCCCGATCGGTTCAGCCGTTTTGACGTCTATTGGATACAAACAAACAGACAGACAAGCCAAATTTATATATAGATTTATATTACATTTTTGAAATATAATTTACAGCAATTGCTGTAGATATTCTCTAGATAGTAGTTCAATTAAAATAATTTTAGGTTTATAAATTAAAATCTTGAATTGAACTAGACCAAAATACAGACCTTATACTGTGATTATTTACAAATATTTTACAATAATGTGTATCGAAAACCAGCTGCAGTTTATTGTTCAACCTTTTCCGGGAACTTTGTTTTCCAGAAACTTTAAAAATGATAAATACTAAAAAATATTTTGCTAATTACTCCTTTTAAACAAAATCTTTAAACAAGGCCTGGGGGCCAGCATGGTGTTTTTGAATAATATATAGGTGTATACAATATACATGTTTATATGCACAGGCAGCCGTAGTACGTTTGAATTTCTCTGCCGGGTCAACCTTTCCGGTCCCAGTTTGTACTGTATCGCCCAGACATTGGGTAAATAAGGCAGACACTCAATAGGACTAGCCGGTGCAAAGTTTACGCAGTCAGACATTAGGTTGAATTTACTTTTTCTAAAGGGTCTGAGGTGGGTGTATGGTTTACACAAAGTATAAGCAAAATTAAGTTGGTTATCTAAACCTAAAGTTTAAGCGGTCGCTGCTTTTAAAAGTCCATGCAGTCTAGAAAATGTCTGCATAATGTTTATAATCTCTGAATCTCTGTGCAAAGTGTACAGTCAGCGTTTGTAGTAAATTGTATAAAAATTGTATATACATTTTACTGTACTGCACGTTCTTTATTTTTCTACAAAATAAGAATTCCGCGGTTTTTTTCACGATTAAACAAGAACGTTTTTCTTATGGTGGTGTATTCAAAAGTCGCAAGTGTGAAAATCGATGAAAATTTGCGAAATACTTGATACAACTAAAGCTAAAGACAAGTATTTTATAGTTATAAAACGTGCATGACATGAGGGTAAAGATTAAAGGCAAAGGCCATAAATTTCTCCTCGTAACTGTTTCATAAATGTAGACTTAAATCGTTAAAGCATTGTTCGTGTTGTTTAAAATTTGGTCAACAATCCCTTTAAGATATTCAAATTGTATTTTAGGTGAGATCAGCTTCTCCCTGTGGAGGATCCTGTTGTCACAAAGGGACTGTTAAACAAGTTAGTTGGGGGTCTGCTTCCTCATCTAGTAATACCATGGTAAAAAAAACTTTTTTAGCAAGAAAATAGGTCCCACGTTTAATTATATATATTTTCCAAAATGTTGTCCTCCATCTTATTCTCATATTATTTTGCTTTCTCTGGAAACTCCCCCTGTAAAGTGAAGAATATTCTACAGATAAAACTTGGTCTGAAGAAACCATTAAATTAACTCAACAGGATAAAATTCAGAAGAACCGGATTGGAATAAGTTTAAAGAAGAGAAAATACGTAGGATTTTAAGAACATTTAGGATTTATTTATCCTTCTTTATTGTTATAGATTTCAAAGTATGCTGATGTAGGATTTGCTATAGCTTTGCTTCTAAATAATATGCAAATTACAGAATTAAAACAACATATTAAAATCTTCATGACGTTTCCTAATTTTTAAAAACTTAATCAAATAAATTCTGGGTCTACCTTCTGAATAAAGACAATGAACACAAGAATACCTCTGATCAGTGACACAAACAATTTTTCCTATTAGATCAATTATCCCTTTTAGTTTTTCTAACCCCAGAATCTGATCAATTTCATCATGATCAATTATCTCAGCAGATCAAATATCTCCACGAATCTCTATACAACCTAATCAATATACTGATGATCAATTTTATGTTTAATTAATCATCTCCCTAGTTTCTTTAGAACTGATCAATGTCAACATGATCAATTATTAGATCAATCATCTCACGGAGTCATCAAGATCAATTACTCCGGTTAAATACTCATTAGGCCTGAGCCTGTTGGATTTGAAAAACATCTTCATGATTAATTAATTCAATTGTACTGTTAGATCATTACCATAGGTTTCTAGGATCGGATTTACATCATCCTAATCAATTATTAAGTTGGATCAATTATCTCCCCGAACCTATGATCAATTACCCTGTTAAATACCTGAGTCTCTTGGGATTAGTTAAATGTCATCATGATCAATTACATCAATTATCCTGTTAGATCAATCATCTCCCTAAGTCATCGCGATCAATTATTGCGTTTTATCACTCATAGCCCTAAACCTCTAGAATCTGAAAAACGTCATCATTATAAATTCCATCAATTATCCCAATAGATCGATCATCTCCCTGGGTCTCTATATCATTATTAATGTCATCATGATTGATGATAAATTATCAAGTTGGATCAATCATCATTCCAAGTTTCTAGAACTTGATTAATGTCAGCATGATCAATTATCCCGTTAAATTAATCATATCCTGGGTCTCTAGGATTTGATTAACATCATGAATTATAACTATATATAATCCAAAAGAAATTAAAAGAAAACCAAATTATGAAATAGACTGGTTTCATAATTGACTAATGATCATTTCACATAGACTCTATGCCTTTCACTTTACAAACGATGATTTTACGTTATCAATATAAATCAAATGATGTTTTTTATTTACCTAATTCATTTTATAAAGTTTATTTAACAGCTTTAAAAATTCGAAATTGAATGAAATGGATAGTCTAGGGAGCATACTGTATTAATGTACTCTACTGCATATAATTTGTGAACATTTACATGATTTGTACACTTTGAACTCCCTTTCAGGCTGAAAGGGACTGAAAAAATTTATACCGAGGGATTTTCTAAATTCCATGCTCTAATATATAATCTATTCTCTTTGATATAATCTGATCATTGTCATCATGATCAATTTTTCATCCAAACATTGTTTAGTTTTTTATTTCAATATAATATCAGTTCTTTTTACCTTTCCATCTTCTTTAATTTTTATAATGTCAAATTGGTCCTAAGGTTGTAAGCTCTCAAGTAAAAATCGTTAAGTCTTGGCCCATTACTTCTTGAAAACAAAATCTAAAAATAAGTGCTTATTAGTTCTTAATGATAAGGAATACAAAAACTAGAAGTGAGTTCAAGTGACTCTCTGATTACGTACAGCTTAACCAAGAATTTTGACGACATTAAAAGAATGTCTAAAATGTTGTCTTGACAATTTTTGAATGGGTTTTATACTATTATAATTGTAAAAATAAATAAATAGCCATGAAATTTGCAATCGTTATGATCACAATTTAAACCCAGATAAATATAACTTTTTCCTCCTAGGCTCTATTAGAACATTCCCCCCCCCAACTTGGTAAAAAGTCGAGTTTTCATCCAGAGATGGCACGACTATTGGAGGTGAAAACTCCACTTTTAAACTCGATAAAAACATCTGGAAGGCAAAAGTCCAGTTTTACTCGATTTTAACTCGAGTTTTTGTTTGCTTGGTATGATCAATAACCTGAAAAATATCGTCGTTTACAGTTCGAACAGTTTATGAAGTAAAATTACGCAAATAAAAATGAAAAGTCACATGAAATTTAGTCAACAGTCCCTTTTTAACTATGTAAAATTTACACGATGTCCATTCTTTTAAAATATTAAAATCAGTAAATAAATAGAAAACAAAAAACCATGAGAAAAATTATAAATCTTGAAAATGTTAAATTAATCCGGTATGTAGTGTGTATAGTTAGTTACTCTTTCTCCAATATCCAAATAATTGGTTCAAAGGATTTCTAATATTGAGTCTCTAGAGTCTTATTTCAATACAACTACAACCCTTTAAAGGATCCCTAACGGGAAATGAAGACACACACAGAATATATTAAATCCAACCCAATACAGTTTTCCATCTCATCATTTTCAATCTGCAGGGTATCTCTGAATTTTATACAATAAAAATAAAACATTAAAATATTAAAGATTTAACTATTTCACTTTTAACTTTTTCAAAATCTTATTTTAAATCAATAATTTGTTCATTCTTACAGTGATTTAATAAGAAAACCTTTAACTAAAGTTATGACTTTGAATAGTTCAATGAACATGAGGCTAAGCAATTGTTCAGTATAAACAGGCCCAAAGGAATTAATTTTTTGTCACTACCTCAAATTTTCTAATCCCTATATCTATGGTTTAAAATATCTAAGGTCTACGACATTGAGTTGCAGAGATATAAGAAATAGAAACTCAGAGTTTGTGTCAAAGGCTCAATTCTTTTTACTTAATAAGTGATTTAATAATTTACTTGTTAAGCTATCTGCTTTGTAATAACTTCAGTATTGCTTTAATGTCGTCTTCCTATTCTACAGTTTTCTGGTTATTACGCAGCTTAAATCTTCTCGTTCTATTCCTATTGTGCGTCAATCGTCGAAAAAAACAAAAACAAAAACTACATATGAATTTAAAATGTTTCTTTATTCAAAATGAATATATGTTTTTTGATTTTGGGGTAAAAATTTAAAAATTTCAAAGTTTTGAGGAAATGTTCCAGTAACGCATCATGAGTATTTTTTGTTATAAATCAAAGATTAAGAAAAGATTAAGGAAGCGAGTGCTTGTCTTGACCTTGTGTTTATTGTTAATGGTTTGTAAGGATGATTATGTATTCTCGCATCTGGGAATACAAGATAATGTAAAACTAACAAATCATGGTTACAGAGTGTCCCAACAAATGACCAGAGAAGACCTTCGACTCGACTATCAAACTTTTTTAACATACTAGGCTTTTAGGGCGCTTCGCGTTCATCTTCTATTTAAATTGTGAACATGTGTTCTTTTTGTTTACATTTTAAATCAAAGAAGAAAAAAAAATTTTGCGGATTTTTAAAACAAAATTCACGGATTTTCAAGAATTTAAATTTTTTTACAAAATTAAAAACCTTTAAAACACATTTTTTAAAATTTATATCATTCATAAACCTTCCCTGTGGTCACGTGATGTCCCACAAAAATTTGGGCCCGATCGGTTCAGCCGTTTTGACGTACAATATATCATACAATAAACATTCACTGTATGTTATAAATGAACAAAATGGAACTAGTGTTGAGACGAAACAAATTACTTTTTTACCAAATATGACCGGGAAACCTAAGTTAAGTATAAAAAAGGTCGCATACAAATTGGTCACTTAAAAGTAACGAAAAAAAAACATTCAAAATTTGTTTGTTTGTTTAATTCTGACGCGTTTCTTTAAAAACTGATTTTAAACTCTTTTTATCTAAAATCTATTATCGATTTGATTTCAAAATTTGGGCCATTCATTCTACATTCACAACATTGTATTTAAATTAGAGGTTCTAACTCCAGTCTTTAGTTTCAGACTGAGGATGCAGATTGGTGGTTAAATCAAGCTTCAAATCAGGTTATTTAAAGAGACTGTACAGTATTTTCAAGTGATCTCCATGTTCAGAGTGACATGTTCGATAAGGGATGGGCAAAAGCCAAATTCATTTCACAGAAACATTAAATGTTTTTTGGACTTTTAAAAGGTTTTACGACAATATGAGTTGGTTCCAATATCTTAAAACTTTATTCAGAATTTTGCTTTTATCAAACATGCAAATTTGCTACCCTAGAAGAAAATATAAGACAAAAACGATAGTTTTGGTACTTTTTTGCCTTTTATTTTCACCTAGGATAACAAAATTTGCGTGTTTGATAATAGAAAGTTTACAAAATACAATTTTAAATCTTTGAACCATTAATCTCAGATTGTCATAAAACCTTTAATAGTCTAAAAATATTAAACGTTTCTGTAACACAAATCTAGTTCGATTCACATATTTATAATTTTCTCTTTTGATTTCTTATAAGAAAGTTTGTTTTCAAAAAAAGGAGGAAATTGTTCTAATTAAAGCTGAAAAAAGAAAATATCTTACACATTTTTAATCAAATAAAGTGTTCTTGTTGAGCTCTTGTTTAAGAGCAATATTGTTAACCAGATAAATTGCTCTTGTTTAAGAGCGATATTGTTAATCAGATAAAGTGTTCTTGTTGAGCTCTTGTTTAAGATCAACATTGTTAATCAGATAAAGTGTTCTTGTTGAGCTCTTTTTTAAGAGCTATATTGTTAATCAGATAAAGTGCTCTTGTTTAAGAGCAATATTGTTAATCAGATAAAGTGCTCTTGTTTAAGAGCTATATTGTTAACCAGATAAAGTGTTCTTGTTTAAGAGCTATATTTTTAATCAGATAAATTGCTCTTGTTTAAGAGCAATATCGTTAACTAGATAAAGTGCTCTTGTTTAAGAGCAATATTGTTAACCAGATAAATTGCTCTTGTTTAAGAGCAATATTGTTAATCAGATAAATTGCTCTTGTTTAAGAGCTATATTGTTAATCAGATAAATTGCTCTTGTTTAAGAGCTATATTGTTAATCAGATAAATTGCTCTTGTTTAAGATCAACATTGTTAATCAGATAAAGTGCTCTTGTTGAGCTCTTGTTCAAGAGCAACATTAATCAGATGAAGTGCTTTGTTGAGCTCTTGTTTAAGAGCAACGTTAATCAGATAAAGTGCTCTTTTTGAGCTCTTGTTTAAGAGCAACATCATGTTGAGCATGCCTCTCTTGAAGTTTATTGTCACTTAAAATTACATTGACAGTCCCTTTAAAACGACAATCAAACAATACATGCTATGTATTGATATTATCACCCTCATCAATAGCTTAATGTGTGTTGAAATTTCAAGACAGCCCCCATAAAAAAGCAAAGGTCTACGGCAATTAGGATATATGGAGATAAATTTACAAATGATCCACATTCCACAATCATAAATCTTTTTAATAAACCAACATTTCTGTATCTCCTTTCTACATTTTTTCCCTCTCTTAAAAACACAATATCAACAAACAAATACGAATTAAGGGAATGTATTCAAAAGCAATTTGTATACAACCTCTTTCAAGGTTAAAGTTGAGACATTTTTTGGAAAATATCTGATAGAATCTAATTTTTGATGAAACCATTATAGGTTATAGGTTCACATCAAAAAAGATGCTAAACAACTAGATATTTTACTGGAATACTGGAGCTTAGGTTACCGCATTTATTAAGATAAAATGAGGCTAGTTTTTTGATAATTAACTTTAAAATATATTTGTTTTTAGTATAAAAGGCATTTTTTAACAAAATTTGATCAAGCTTTCTTGAATTTGAATAAAACGTTTTTGTGCATGGAAACCCTTCTGTCATAGTTATTTTGCCTTTTTTCTGTTTAAATATCCTTCCCGTCAACAGTTTGTTACTTCTTCTAAATCTAAACAGAAATTAAAGGGATTGTAGGACTAATTTTATATGACCCTCCATTTATAAAGTGGAATGCCGATTCCTAATAATACCCTTTAAACTTATCTCTGATCAAGGATGGATGATATCAATGAATAAAAAACAAGTATATTTATTTTAATTTCAGGCCACTCTAACCGTACCCCAGCCTCCTGGTATTTTGAGAACACCTCCGACGCCTCCTCTGTCATCGGAGGATAAGCCTCATAACCTTTACCAACCTCCGCCTGAGGTTCAAATCTCACTTCCTGAAAAAACTCCATCTAGTTCTCCTTGTAAAAAACTGGAGAGAGACCTTTCAGAAGTTCAAACAATAGACCAAGATGACAAAATCATGGAGAAGTCTGAAATAACATCCGAGATTAAATCATTCCAAGATTCAAATCCTAATCTTGAAAACACTCCTTCTTCAGAAACAGCTACCAAGGATCCTTTTGTACCCCCATACAGTATTTCCGTAACTACGGATAAAGATGAAACTATTCTAGTAAATGCTCTTTCAAATCCTACATCCTTAGTTACTCATGAAACCCCTTGCTGGACCACAACCGAAGCAACAGATTCAGAAAGTACATCTTTGTTTGAATCCAACCCTCCCTGTCATAACTACTCATATGAGCAGGAAATGAAACTCTATGATAAACAAGATGCTCAATCAGAATTGTTGACAAGAAACAAAGAAAATATATCTGTAGTCCAGACTGAGAACAATAAAGACTTTATAGAAATTGCTGATAGATATTATATTGAGATATGTAGAGATGACGAGGAGAGGATTAAAGATGAAATCTATGCACTACAATCTGAACTATCTATGGATCTAGGAGAACTACCTCCACCCCCTGATATTCCTGTTGAAGCTGAAACTGAACTGACCCACAATCTTGAGATTCTTCCCTCCCCTCCAACTCCTCTGGAATGTTACCAGTTTAGTCTCCTTGATGTTGAAAACCTTCCTTCTCCTCCCGAGCTTTATCAAAACTCTTTAACAGAAGACATCCCTGATACCTACTATGTAGATTATGATTACTTACCTCAACCCTGCTCATCCTCACCCGAGGAACCATCTTCTCCAGTTCAACATCTTCATGTCCTTCCTGTCCCTGATCCTCTACACCCTAATCCTCAGGAACCTGTCTTTCATTTCAGGGATCTTCCAGAACCCTACCAATCCAACTCAAACTCATCAGTTCCAGGTTCTAGGAAGCATTCATCGACGGATGAAGGTTAATTTTTCTTATAAAATTTTTGAAGTTTTGTTAAACAAATTTGATTTACTTTTTAGAGGACACCTTTGTGGATATTTCAAAAATAAGTAATTTTGATAATGAATCAGAGTCTGAAACGACTGAAAAGGAAACTAGAAATTTAAAATTCAGGTAACTTAATAATTTAAAAAATGAATGAAATTTACAAACCCTTCGAAAATCTCATTTCAAAATGTTGGAGAATCTACAAATTTTACAAAGGGAACAATGTTCAAAAATATGTTGACAGACCTAATTTTATTTTGGCTTCCAGTAAAATACTTTTTCTCTTCAATTTTTCCATAATTGTAAATATATTTTATCAGATTAAATAATAATCATTTTATGTTTCTAGAACTGATACTATAGTCGAGGTATGCAATATATTTGCTCAAAGACAAAATCTTCCAACTTCAGTCCGTTCCAAAGAAATACTGGAGACTCAGGAACAACGTGCATTAAATGCAGCAGTTCAGCAAATGGTAAACAAACCTTTGGAGTTTACACAAATTCAGGTTAATGACAAATCAGACAGTACAGTAGTGGATGATGGTGATACATCCATTGAACCCTCCTTAATTCGACCAAAATGTCCTGTTCATCATAAGGCTAAAAGACACGTTAAAAAATATGAAGGTTTGGAAGATACACTCCATAATCTTTCTGGATACAGTTCATGTGGAAAACTTCGGAGAAGAGAGAATAATAAAATGAGCCTAGGAGAGTAAACCAATTTAAGAATTTTTTTCGTATTTTTAATTTATTTTTAAAATGATGCACAGACTAGTCTGTTTTGCTTCCAGTTTTGAGAAAGTGCATCTTTTTTTAAATACACCTATCTTTTTTCTGTAGGCTGTAAGCCTAAAATTGGAATTTATTACAGCTGTCAGCACAAGAACTAAAGGGTATTGAAGGGCAGGGCTTTCAGTAACTTTCAACTTCAACCTCCAGTTCCTGAATATTAAAGTTTTCGATAAATATTTTTAAAATCTTAAAATTATATAGTTTGCTCTGCAGATAGCAGATTATCTCCAGCTCAACCTGTCCAACGTAATCCACGGCGAGCCATGCTGGTTAGGCAAAGTCGTTTAGAGATAGAAACTAGTTCTTCGGACGGAGTAACCGTGGAGGAGCCGGTTCCAGCTAGAATATCAGGAACAATCCCAGTTTTAGTGTTTGGTTCAGAAAAAAAAAGCTCAACCAAAGAAACTAAAGATCAAGAGAATCCTACCATCCAGAATGTGTGTAACCAAGATTTTACGGAAGTAATTGTTTGCACACATCAATCAATGTCATCCTTTGAAGAACAGTTGTCAACTGTTGTTGAAGCTGGAAATCCAGCAATTGTTTCGATTGAGACCCCAAAGCAGCTGATACGCACAAAGACGACTGATCCGGGAAGAAAAAGACATTCAGTAGCTCCACCTGTACGCCGAACTAAAGTTGTTGCACGGCATCGACGGACAGAAAGTTTTTAATATAGAATTTTAAAATTTCTTATTGTTATTTGTGATTATGCAAAACAGGACACTAAAAGTGTGATTAGCTCAAAGTTTTTATGAAAAAAAAACCTACTAATTAGTTTCGCACAAAGAAAAGGTGAAGTCCAAAATTAATTAAAATTTTTGGGTGAATCTAAGTGTTTTGATGGTATCTATAAATTATAAAGTTACATTTTATAAATCTTTAAAGTGTTATTCTGTAAAGATAAATCTAACGTTGATATGTAACTTTTATTATTTTTTATTGTAATTTCAAAATTATAAGAATATTTGCATCAATTTTGTTTTAACATAAATGCATGTATAATTTTAAGCTATTTTGAATGTTAAAGGGGCGGGAATAAATATTGTTCTAAAATAGAAAAAAAGCAGAATCGTTAAAATAAATGGCAACAATCTTTTTGGGAATATTTCGGATATATATTAATATTTAAAAGTTATGATTTATTAGATTTGATTTTTCAATTTTATCTATAGAAATTAGTTATTGGTTCAAAATTTGGTCCCCTGATACTAACTGAGCTTCAAAGGTGATAAACACAAAATTGCATGTATTAAATATCTGAATTTTATATTTTCTATAATTACTCTACCCCATTAATTGGCTTGAATGTTATTTTGACTTCCCATATTATAATCTAGAATTTATACGTACATGTAATATTATTTAGTTTCTATTAAGAAGATCTATTATAAAGAGATTTATATTACTAGAATGCATGACTTAAAATTACGCTCAAACATCTTGAAAAAAATATTTCAAAATCTTTGCCACATTTACTCTGATTTTCAAATACCTTTTATTGCAAAATAATGTTGTAGACTCAAATTCTTAGAATTTTGAATTCTTAGAACTATGATCAAATTGTGGCAATTGTGGCATAAACTCAATTCCTAAAATTGTCTTTTACTCTACATATGTTGAAATGTAAGATATGTATGTACAATGTACATACGTTGTAATTAATAGACATTCATAACTCCACAAAAAAAAATTTAATTCTTTTTAATTTCTTAAACTTTAGTCATGGAGAGATTGATTTTAAATTTTGTGTTTTATAGTTCTATGCAATTGTAAATGTTAATAATTAGAATAATTCAGAGATTTCAAAATAAATTATTTATTGATTCATGATATTTTGAAATTAAGCTATTAAATGAAAAAAATCAAGTACTTTTTTATTTCTATGACGAATTATATATTTTACAATCATACAATCTTGTTGTAATTAGTTAATCTTTTTTCGAGTCTAAGTTATTACATCACAAAATTTTACTATTTTTTGTGCTAAGAAGAATTTAATCTCATTTCAATTTAACTTCAAGTTAATCACTTTTACGTTTCTGTTCTGAAAACTAACTCTGATCAAGGTTTGAAAATTTAAATCTACAATTGTTCTTATTTTTGTATTTTCAGCATGTTCTGCATTCTTGGTCAAAATTACATGATATGTTTTAACGTTTACTTACAAAAAATCATTTTCAATTTTTGACGATACAAAGATTTTTTTTCATCCATTGAGCGCATATCAGATATCAGAAATGTTTGTAACCGCGCGTAGAAAGACAAAGAAATATCAAAATCTACTCAAATGTCCTTCGCAAGGACCCTTCGTAGATCATTTTACCAACAAAGAAAACATATAAATGTTTCAAGAAATAAACGATATCGATAATTTTAAATATTCTACGTTTTTGGGGAACTAGTCAAAGTTATCATAAAGACCAGTATTTCAGTTGTCTCAACATGTTTTTAAAGATCAATATCAGTATAACTTTTTTTACAGCAATCTTAATATCCTTACTGCATTTAATAAACGCCAAGTTGAAGATGATGATGATATCAATATCTAAATATGCGTAGAAACACCTGCATGACATACAGGGTTACCGACTAAGGATGAGACTGTAAAGACCATCTGAAACTCTTAATATAGGACAATCCTTAGACATTGAATTGATCTTCTGCTTTGAATAAATATATATGACTTATAAATAATATGGTAAAGAACGAAACAAGTTTATAGTTGTAGGAATCATAAATATAAGGAAACAGACAGTACAAATTCCGCACAGTCATCTCTGAAGATTCATCATTTGTGGGTAACCCTGTATTTAAACACGTTTGATTATTATTACTCCATGTATACATTAAACAGTTTTCTTTGATTTTAAATTTGATTTTTTGAAAATATTTCTCATTTGGTTCTTTGGTCAGTTTTTAGCTAGCTGGGAGTTGTTTTAGATAAATTAAAAAATGAAGTGAAATATAAATATATTGGTAGACAGAAGTAAACGTATGAAGGATATAAGGGATTGAGCAAGGAAATTATATGGTCCATCATTAGATTGTTCTAGAAACAATATGTTTGTTTACAATTTAGTTTTGAGAAAGTTAGTAGTTCTGTAGCAGTATCCAGTTGTCATGCTTTGCTTCAGGGTTTCCTTTAAGCTCGTCTTGCTCTCAACTCGATCCAATGGAGATCTAAAATCAGAAAATAAATATTCATAAGTTTTAACACTGTTATTTTGGTTCGCAGTGTTATAAAGTTTTTGGATAGAGATTTTCTCTTTATCGAGAAGGTTCAAGTCTTTATCGATTTTGCGATGGACAAAATATAATCTAAAAAGGCAAGAATTTTTAAGATGTAGAGAAAATGTAAGTCCAAAAACCGTATAGCATGTCGTGTCAAAATAATAGTGTTATAGGTAATTTTATGAAACGTTTGTGTACTTGTCTTATTACAATGGCTATTTCTAGATCAAATAAGCTTTGAAACAAAGTAGAAGTCAAAATATAAAGTTAATTTCAATTTTATTTTCATTTAAATTTTAAAAAAATATTTTGGAAATATCCTAAACTTTTTGGAGAAAGTCCTGGAACCAATCCAAACTTTATAGCACACGTGCTATAATGTACAACTGTAGATTAGGAAAAATGTCAATCATTCCTGATAGTTTTTTAAGTCGGTTTTCTATTGAATTCCTTTAAGTAAATTTTAATGGAATGATGTTTTACCCTGTGATATTACGTATCATGATCGATATCTACAATAGAAATCATAACAATAACCCTTTCTTTCATAATATCTTTAATATCAAATGCAATAAATAATATTTACTTTCATAATTTGCTGGTTAAAATGCAATTGCGGGATTCCTTTAAAAAAACTGTAGATGTAATTTTAAGTGCGGCTCCAATTATTAAGTGACATATCTGATTCACATAGGCCAAAAACATAGTCCCTTTCATAGGCCAAAAAAAATCCTGCACACTCCCTTTAATGGTAAAGATCTTACTGTTGTCTGGGTTGAGCTGTGGCTAGTCGTCTTCCAGGTAGAAGCTTCTCTCCGCGTACATTTACCTCACTTTGAACCTTCCTCACGGTTTCAACACTGCCTCGCCTTCCCTCCCTCAACTCATGGCTGGAGGCACGCCGCTCCTCCCTCTTCTCCTCATCTTTCCTCCTAATCATTCATTATTCAATTCCTCATTTTTTTGAGGCAAAAATTTCATAGATAAGATAAGAGAGGCGGTTTTTGGGAAAACTTTGCTAATAACAAACTCATACAATCACCACCCCATCACGTAAATGATTTCAAAGTAAGATAAGTTTAAGTAATCACCTCTGTTATCTAAAATATGAAATCTTAGGTAAAGGAATTGAGTTTTTGCCACAAACTCAAATTTTCCAATCCTTTTATCTTGGCAACCTAATGGTGGAAACCCTTGATATTTCAAACTTAGGCTATTTGATCTAACAGAATTCATAGTTTGAAATATCTAACTTCTACGAAATTGGATTGCAAAGATACAGGTATTAGAAAATCTGAGTTTGTGACAAAGACTCAATTCCTTTCTTTGAATTTGATTATGGGTTGTCTCTACATACCATAACGTGTAGATTCGAAAATATTTAGTTTACAAAAATCGTTTAAATCCCTAGGTGTTATCTATCCAAGTTCAAGAATTCAATTTGTATGAATAAAGCTCAATAAGTACGTTCTAAAGCAGGATCTGTAAACCAGGAAGAATCAGCCAAATGAGTATTTAAAGAAGGGGTTGAGGAATTGCATCAGTTCTACCCAGCATCTCGTAGAGCTCACATTTATTTTATTGGACATGTTTTTAGTTTTAAACATTTCAATCAATAAAATATCCAAAGTACCTTTATTGTCTATATACCAGGATTGGAGTAAAATCTTAAAGATTGGAGTATTAACTCTTAAGGATTGGAGTAAGATCTCAAAGGTTGAGAAAATTCTCAAGTGTTTAAGCATAAACTCAATGGTTAGAGCATAGTCTCAAAGGTTAGCGCAAAGTCTCATAGGTTTGGAGTAAAATTTAAAAGGTTTGAGTAAATTCAAGGTTTTATGTGAAGTATTTTGGATTGAAATAAAATCAAAATAACTATCACAAATATACGATTGAAAAACAGTATATTGTAACATTGACCATAGGAATGTTGCAAAAAAAGAAAATATTATCATTAAATTATATTGTTAATGTTTTCGGTGAATGTATGTGAACCTTATTTTATTTATTAACTACCGATCTAATTAACTTTGGATTAATCACAGTACACAATATAAACATACGGCAAAAGGGGGCAAAACAAGGAATAAGAGACAATTTAAAAGTTTTTAAAAATAATTTATTGTGAAACTAAATTTAGTTTGTAACTACCATGCAAGTAACTAATAATATTGTTAATTTCAAAAATATTTTTTTCGCCATGTCTGGGTTTTCAAAGTTTTTGAACGACTTTAGATGAGCAAATGTGCTCGAAAAAATAGTTTGACATTGCGCTGGAAAATCAGTGAATAAAGTTAAAGTTTATTTAAGTGTACTAAGCTAGAATTACATAAGGTTTTTATGTCTTTTTTTGGTTGTAGTTTATACATATTTAACCCTAAAAAGTTCAGGGGATAAGAAAGAAGGTAAGATCTATATCTTAAGAAAAAAGTCCCTAAAATATGCTTTTATCTTTGAAAGAACATCTTATTTAAATTACTGAAAATAATTCACTTTAAAGGGTGAGGTCTCGGAAGAGTTTTGGAAGTTTCAAAGTGAAATGAATGAACGTAAAGGAACTGAGTTTTTGCCGCAAACTCAAATTTTCTGAAACCTATATCATTGCTACCTGAAGATGCAAACCTTTGATATTTCAAACTTAGATCATTTGATCTAACAGAATTAACAGTTTGAAATATTAAAGGTCTACGTCATTGGATTGTAAAGTTATAGGGATGGACAAATTTGAGTTTGTGGCAAAAACTCATATCCTTTCGAAATATTGCAAAAAATTGCAGGGTTCAACCCTGGACTCTTTAAGGTTAAAATTGTTTAGTGCAAATTTCATACGTTTTCTCTGACAATTTAGGATAATTTCCTGAGACTGTTTTCCCCAATCTCTCGGAGCGCTTTACGCTAAATTTCCTACATATCGATTATCGTGGCAAAGCTATTATAAAAAAGTTATACAAATTCCCTTCCCCAGTCATTTAGCAATTCGAGTTTGAGGCTGATGCATTTTACTTCCTTTAAGAAAAATAGCAAAACAGTAAAGTTTGAACCCCTTCCATCTTGAATTTTGTAACATGTTCAGTGTTTGCGTTCAGATATGTACAAAGCTGTAACAAAATTGTATTAGACATTTTTAGTTCCACGTCCAACAAATGAACTGATTACTCACGTCACTCTCTGATTTTCGAACCCTAAAATCTTTGTTGTTTAATAGTAATTTTGAAAATTTTCTATTTAATAAAGCAAGACATGTGTATATATGTTCCCTCTGGCTGGCCAAACGACTAGACCGAATGGGCTGAAATTTTTTGTGGACAGTCATGGGTAGCCTGGGAGTGACATAGAAAAAACCGAATTCTCGTTTAAAAAAAAATGTCCTTAATTTCTTTTTACACGGGCAACGCCGGATTCTTCAGCTGGTATTTTATATAACAAAGAAAGGCTACAAGATATAAGAATTAGAAAATCAGAGTTTTAGGCCAGTAATCAGATTCCTTTCACATAAAACCAAAAATAAAAATGTTTACCTGAAAAACTTTTCTTGTTTGATAATATCATAAAGTTTCCCCCTGTACTGATCTACAGATAGTTGAACACAATCGTTCAACGGGGGAATCACGTCTCTCTTCATCTCAGGCTCCTGACAGGATTTTAACAATTTCATAAATATATTTATGCAACAAAATAATACTTAAATTTATAAAAGGAATTGAGTTTTTGCCACAAACTTTTATTTTCTAATCACTATATACCTTTGGAACCCGATGCTGTAGACCTTTGATATTTCAAACTATGAATTATGTTAGATCAAATAATCATAATTTGAAATATCAAAGGTTAACATCTTTAGTTAGGAGAACTATAGGTATAAGACTTATTGAATTGTGGCAAAAACTCAGTTCCTTTACTAAAATTTCCCCAGATCAAATTTTTAAATAAAATTAAATTATTCATTTTTTTGAACGCTTTTTTTCAGGCCATTTATTCATAATTCAAAACACACCATTTTTAATGTTGTCTCAAAATTTACTTATTTAATGAAAACCCCTGTAGCTTAAAACAAACTTTAACTATTATCATGAATCCTCAATCAATAACATAACTAAAATAGAATCTTGACATTTAAATTGGAATAATGACTCACTTTGCTACTTAATTCAAACCAAAAGGCCGAACGAAATCACGAAAAATGTTCAAATAATAATAAATAAAAATCATATATTGATAGATATAATATAAAAATGAATAAAAATATAGATTGTTACTCTTCACAAACATCAAATTGGAAAGATATAGGGATTAGAATGACGGAGTTTTCAGTTCCTTTTTTCAAAATCTTAATAATAGTCTAGTAGCAATGGCAGAAACAATGGTGAATTGAGTTCATCTCACACATTCTGATTTTCTAATCTCCTTATCTTTGTAGCCCAATGTCGTAGACCTTAGATTATTTGACCTATAAGAATTCATAGTTTGAACTAACTAACCTTAAAAAAATCAAAGGTTTGCACCATCAGGTTGCAAAGATATTGGGATCAGAAAATTTGAATTAGTGGAAAAACTCGATTCCATTGAGAATTTCTTCATCGCTTCTGCTTCATTGAAAACACAAATTGCAAATTTTCTGCTAGAAAACATTAATATCTCGTTCTTTCTTGATCAATTAAACCATTAAAGGGAACCTTTTATTTTTGAACATACTACTCTATAAATGAAGCGTAACCTGACATTGCGTAAACACTGAACAGTCCTTTAAAATATATAAAGTTGTGATGTTTATTGACCTGAGCTGAATTATGAAATCTGGCGACATATGGATGTCTGAGGGAGGCATGTGCGGTCAACCTCTGGTTAGGATTAAACTTAAGAAGGGTTTCTATCAGATGAACAGCGTCTTTGCTAGACTCGCTGAGCAGGTCAACAAGAGGTCGTCTTTTCATCGTAGCTGCCCGGTCCAGGATACTCACAGCATACTCAGAACTAATATCCTAGATATAAAAAAATACACTTCCAAAAAATGTATTTTTTTCGTACCCCTCTTTTGTTTGATTTGATTTATAATGAGTTTATGAGAGGTATGTCATGTACGATTCAGAACGGGTACTTTATAAAATGTATAAGCAATAATAAATAAGATACGTTTTTGAGAAAAATGTTTAATTTCAATTTGCAAAATTGAAGCTTTCCGGCTCAAAAACGAGACATCTTCCCCATTTTTGATCCAGTTTTGAATCGGGCAAGTCCATCTTTGATGGTGGGGGCGGGGGGGATTGGGTGAAGCTTTACATATAATTGGTAAAAATCTACATTTCACACGTCCTTCTATTCTTGTAATTTTCTCAAATATTTATTCAATATTCTAAAAATTACAATATACATAACACCCCCTCCCCCATTTATGCGTTATATACATTATTTGAAAATAAACTGAGTTTTTTGCCACACACTCAAACTGTTTAATCCCATCGGAATCGTAAACCCATGATGTTTCAAACTTAGATTATTTGATTTAACATAATTCATTGCTTGAAATATCAAAGGTCTCCGACAATGCAATGATATAAGAATTATAAAACCAGCATTTCAGGCTAAAGTCTGTTCCTTTATTATTGCACTTTAAACTAGATGAACATTGTACATATGTATAATATGTAATAATATCTTATTATGAATAATATGAATGCTATTTTCAGATTAATATCAAACTATAACGCTATTTATTTATTTATTTATTTATTAATAACTTATTTTATATGTGAATGTTAATTTTCGGATTTTTTCAAACTTAAGGCTATTTATTTATTTATTTATTATATAGATATGATTCAATTTTTGCAACTTCCAATTTTAAAATCATCAATTTACAGACAACTACAAAAACAAGAATTTCAAATAAAAGTGAATTTTCAGTTTTAAAGATCTCCGTAAGTTAATTTTGCGTGACCAGAATTTTCACCAATGGCAGTGCAGTAAGCTAAATAGCATTTTCACGTAATACAGTATTTTGCTTAAACTGTCCCTTTAATCTGTTCTTTCTAACCTTAATATCATCTGTTGAGGGTAGTGTGATGCTAGTAACTATCTTTTCTATTTGATTTATTGTTGAGCTTCCAGGAAACAAGGGCTTTCCTAAATATTAAACCACTTTTAAATAAAAGAAAACATTTGTCCTTAGACATGTAACTGGTAATTGATTATATAATTTGATCTACGGTTTCCAAAAAAAAGAATGAGATTGGTTAGAACATGTCTGTAATAAAGATTTGTTAGCCATAGCTGGAAAAACGACTGGAAGTTGGTTGAATGTTTTTGAAGAACTTTAAGAAGAATTTTAAGAACAATGTCATTTATTCTTGAATGCATAATTTCAGTAATCTGTAGCACCCGCCCCTCTCATTCTTTTAATTTACCCTTTTTTAGAAAGTACCCCCCCCCCCGTATTAAAATGTTAGATTATCCCTGATTTAAATAAAAAAAAACATGAGATTAAACTTTGAGGTTTCTAATTGTCTAAGGTTTCCCCGGGATTAAGCGGATTACATCATAAATAAAAAGAAAAAAGAAAAATGGAAGATGGTTCTTCAAGATGAATGTTTACCTAGTCCCTACCAACGTGAAAATATTTAAGGTGGGGGGGGGGGGGTTGCAAACCCCGTACAATGATGTTATAGGAACGCCCTGAAACTGGTTTAACCCTAACTTGAAAAAGGTAAATGAACAGTTAATAATTCGGTCTTAGGAAAATTCCAAATTTCGTACAAAATTTTGATAAAATCTAGAAAACGAAAATATCAAAAAGTGTGTCGCAAGAATTTATTTCAGAATTGCTCAATGACATGTCAGCAGAGAAAAGGCAACCCTGCAAAATTGTGTCTGCTATTATCTATTTTATTTTAAAAAATTGTTAAAGTTAAAACAAAATTTTTTTGTTAAATGTGCACATAAACACTATCCCATGCTTACCTTTACTATACTCACATTGGAAACTATCAAGTGGATAAAACTGGATATAGTGGAGTGTCAATATTATCTTTAGGTTCAGTGTAACAAGAGATAGAAAAGTTAAGACAAAACCTTTTGACTTTGTAAATAAAAGGAAGATCGATCGTAATCAGTCTTTAAAACTTTGATAGATATTAAAGAAAACCATTAAATGTTAAAAGTTACGGTCTTAATTAAAATATGAATTTTATGAAATTTTAATGTTAAGATAAAAAAGAAACTCTAAAAATTTTGAGATATCAAAATAAAGAAATATAAAAATAATAAATGTGAAATTATGAAACTATGAAATTGGTAACCATGAAATTCAAACATAAATAATGTGTGAATTAGAAATTGAGAAAATTTATAAATGTGAAGAAGTGAGACTATGAAATTATAAACATGATAAACTGTGAAAATGGGAAATACAAAAAAAAATTTAAAAATTCGAATTTAGAACTAACCTAAGCACATCTCTGCTAGAATACAGCCTAGACTCCACATATCCACCCCTGCCGTATACTTCTTACTAGCGAGGAGTATCTCAGGAGCTCTATACCATCTTGTAGCAACATAATCAGTCAGACAAGCATCCCCTTCTCCACCAACCTCAGGACTCTCTACAACAACAACAACATTATACTATCTCGTAGCAACATAATCAGTCAGACAAGCATCTCCTTCTCCACCAACCTCAGGACTCTCTACAACAACAACAACATTATACTATCTCGTAGCAACATAATCAGTCAGACAAGCCTCAGGACTCTCTACAACAACAACAACATTATACTATCTCGTAGCAACATAATCAGTCAGACAAGCATCTCCTTCTCCACCAACCTCAGGACTCTCTACAACAACAACATCAACATTATACCATCTTGTAGCAACATAGTCTGTTAGACAAGCATCCCCGTCTCCACCAACCTCAGGACTCTCTACAACAACAACATCAATATTATACCATCTTGTTGCAACATAATCTGTCAGTCAAGCATGGCCTTCAACAACAACCTCTGTATTAAATACAACGATTTTTCAAGAGGAACTAAATCATTTGCTTTAAGTAAGAGATCATTACACATTATATTACATAATTGTTCCAGAGGTTTATGTTCTAGAAAGATCACAGTATGTCTGAGAGGTTTTCGTAAAAAACTCTTGGATTTTCATTTGTCGCTATATTGTAGAGTTTTACAGGCCATATTGGTCTTAAGAACCAATGTTAAAGTCGGAAAAACTTCCACCAAACTCTAATTTTTGAATCTCTGTATCTTTAAGCTAGCTGATGGTGTACAACCTTAAACTTAGATTTGTAGCAGCACCATAAATGGTTAGAAATGTTATATGTCTAAGGTATAAGGATTATAAAATTGAGAAGTTTGAGGCAATTGTTCACGCCTTTTTATAATATCCTTGTAAAGAAGTTTAATTTAGTAATTAATTATGTATTACAATTTATAACAACAAAAAATGAACTCAACCAAGTAAATGATTATGGAATTTGGTTTATTATATTTGATTTGGTTTCTTGTAGAAATTTATTGTTTTATTATGTTTGATGTATTTTTTGTTTTGTTTTAATGGTTACTTTATTTTTAGAAATGTAAAGTAAGCTTTCCAATACAAAATACATGTATAGAATAATAGATGCGTTTGAAAGGGAAGACCTCACCGATTATATTAAACAGAAAGACATTTAACAAAGAATTTTAAAAGTGTTTTATTTCAAATTTTTATTATAATTGATATAGGATTGTTTTTGCTAAATAAGCTTGCATTCATGGAGCTACAAGGTTACCCATAAAGGATGAGACTGTAAAGACGACCTGATAATCTTGAAATATGAGAAATGAAGTTGTCTGCCTTGAAATAGTCGTTTAATTGATTCCTGAATGATTTGCAAAGAAGTTTACAGTTGTAGGAAATCATGAATATAAGGAAACAGACAGTTAAAATTACGTACAGTCGTCTCTGAAGGCTCATCTTTTACTGAAATATATTGTCTATCCTCTGAAATATATTGTCTATCCTCTGAAATATATTGTCTATCCCCTGAAATATATTGTCTATCCCCTGAAATATATTGTCTATCCCCTAAAATATATTGTCTATCCCCTGAAATATATTGTCTATCCCTTGAAATAAATTGTCTATCCCCTAAAATATATTGTCTATCCCCTGAAATATATGGTCTATCCCCTGAAATATATTGTCTATCCCCTGAAATATATTGTCTTTTCCGTGAAATATAATGTTTATCCCCTGAAATGTATTGTCTATCCATTGAAATATATTGTCTATCCTTCTGAAATATATTGTCTATCCCCTGAAATATATTTTCTATCCTCTGTCGAGAATAATTTGAAGAGACAATAAAGGAAATTGGCAGAATTGATCTCACTCCAAGTTTACTGAAATAAAAGTTACTCATTTGAAATTAAGCAGACGGTTTTCTTTGAAAAAGTATGATCACTCCCTTTGATTTAAAAACCCCACGAATCCAGAACAAATTTAAATTATCTAAACTGAAGAAACCTGTTTAAGTAAAGTCTAACACATGAATAAAATATAGTGTATACGCCAGAGTTTCAAACTTTATAAAATATTAATATTGTTGCAAGTAAATATTAAGGCGAGAAGAGCAAGACTTGAATACTAGTAAAAACCAGAAAAAATATTGAATGAAAAAAAAATACCTTAAATTATGGATATCATCAAACAGAAAGTTCCCAGCTCTGGACAAATTAAAAATTATCTAGCCGTTTAAAAATATTTAAAGGATACAGAAACAAATTAAGGAACTTTATTCACCAAATTAATTTCAAGCCAAAATACCTGAGTCTAAAACTAAAGAATGCCCGAATTTTAAGTTCGAGGTTAAAAGTTCTGTAAAATAATGAATAGCTACTTAAACATTAAACTTTCTTAATTTTAAATTTGAATTTCCCGGGAAAAATCTGAACCAATCAGAGAAAAGGGTTACGGAGAATTATTACGTAAGTATCGGTATTCGATAATCAGCTGTTTTTTAAATAAATAAATTATCTATTAACGAGACAGAAAACAAAACATATTTCCAGTTACAACCGTATTTTGGGTTTACGTGCAAACATTAATTAATCTAAAACGTTAAATTTATTAAATCGAGGTTTTTACTTTTAAATATATCGTAATTATTTGAATGCCGCTTACCGCTGAATGATGATAGACAAACAGGGATTGCGGGATTTCAAGATTTTAAGCCTGTGTTTAAATTTTAACTCGTCGATTTCAGCGAGTTAAATATTTAACCACACGGTTAAAGTTCAGGTTTAAATTAAGTCAGAAATGGCATTTAACCATGAACTTAAAATTTAAGTCAAAACTTTTCGTTCTTCAGTTTTAGACTCTGTTTGGAAAATGTTAGAATAAGGAAGACAGCAAAAAAGATTCATTTTTTCGGGTACGTTTTTTCTTAATGTAACTTCAAAATAGACAGAAGGAGAAGGACATTGTACCACTTTGTGACTTTGGAGCTAGCTTCTCAAGATTTCTTGTACCACTTTGTGACTTTGTAGCTAGCATCTAGAGATTTCTTGTACCACTTTGTGACTTTGGAGCTAGCTTCTCAAGATTTCTTGTACCACTTTGTGACTTTGTAGCTAGCTTCTCGAGATTTCTTGTACCACTTTTTGACTTTGTAGCTAGCTTCTAGAGATTTCTTGTATCACTTTGTGACTTTGTAGCTAGCTTCTAGAGATTTCTTGTATCACTTTGTGACTTTGTAGCTAGCTTCTCGAGATTTCTTGTACCACTTTTTGACTTTGTAGCTAGCATCTTGAGATTTCTTGTATCACTTTGTGACTTTGTAGCTAGTTTCTAGAGATTTCTTGCGCCACTTTGTGACTTTGTAGCTAGCATCTTGAGATTTCTTGTACCACTTTGTGACTTTGTAGCTAGTTTCTCGAGATTTCTTGTATCACTTTGTGACTTTGTAGCTAGCTTCTCGAGATTTCTTGTACCACTTTTTGACTTTGTAGCTAGAATCTCGAGATTTCTTGTACCACTTTGTGACTTTGTTGCAAGCTTCTCTAGATTTTACGCACAAGAATGAGAAACGATATTTTTCTTTCACATTTTAGAAATTAAAAACATTAAGCGTTCTTCTCAATAACTTTTCAAAATTTAATTTAATCTTGTTTAACGTGATGTGATAATTAAATTTTACATGATAATTCAATTTAATATGATAAATTAGTAATTTACTATGATAATCTTATTTATTATGATAATTTAATTTTGGTTTTGCTTAATTCGTACTTTGAAAGGTAATTGACCTTAAATAGTCTGAACTCGTTAATCAAATTTTATGTTTGAATTAATCACCAATTATACTAATTGCAGATCTTAATAGACCATTATTCAAGGATTAACTACTTTCTAAATTCCAAATAAATGTTATATATTCAGCAAATTTTAAAAATGTTTTAATTATAAAAAGTTGCTCTGTTACAGCTAAAATAAACGATAAACATACAATAAATAACATAATCTATTAAATATATATCCTAAGACAAATTGCGTTACTTTACGTAAATATATTGGAATATATGTCAACCATCCATTACTTGATATATACATATATAAAGATATATATGGGTATTGAATGCACAAACTACAGAGTTACCCACAAAAAGATGAGACCAACAACTTTTTCAATATCAACCATCAAAAGTTACTAGCGCCAAAGATTGTCGTCTATACGGAGAAAAAATATTGGATGTAGTTTTGCTAATGCAACGATTAAAAAAAAGTTTTGTCTTAAATTTTAACTATTTTCAAGCATTACAGATCTAAAGATTAAGCTGTAAATATCTATATCTTAGATTCGTCAGTAATCAGTTTTTCTTGTTTTCAACAGTGAATTTACAGCAGCAAAGATAATAATGGAAAAGATAAAGAAAGAAGTATGAGGTATTTTCTTAAAATTATATTTTTTTCAAGAATTTCATGTTTGTATTTAGTGCATTTTGTAGGTATTTTTGATTAGGAAAACCGTTTCTTCCCCCTTAATTTTTTCCATTTTCTTCCTACAGTTTAAATAATTATAAACATTAATATATATCCTGTATATACTTTCAGTGTGCATTTTTATAACTTTTTAGGGAACAATTTTATCAAAATGTTCAAAAGTAGAACAAAATTCATTATTGTCGTTGTAATTTCAAGTAATCCTCCATTTTCGAATGGGCATGACCTATTCACAGCGGTTCTCTGGGGGTGGGGGGCGTTGGACGCCCCCTGCCTTTATTTTTTTCCCCTAGAATTTTTTTTACTTTTAATGAATAGAAAATTAAAGGCTTTGTTGTAAAATTTTTTTTTATGCATATGGTAGGTTAAAAAAAACAAAAAGCCCATAAGTTTTTTTCTGATTAAAGCTACAAATATAAAAGTACATTATTTAAAACAAAACTTTATTTTACATTTTATTGACCTTTTTTGGCATTTCTTTCAATCCTTCCTCGCAACCAAACTATGAAAGTTACAAGCTACAGATCTAAAAACTATATTTTTGAAAAGCCATTGAAAAGTTATCAGTCTAATTTATTTTTTAACAAGCTGGCCTTGAAAAATTGAGTTATGAACATGCATTTCAATCCTATACCTATTCTCTAAGGCTAATTTCTAGCGAAGGGGGTTAGTGGGACGCCTCCCGGGTTATACATAGATTCAGACCCCCCAGCCTGTATAGGTTAAAACTTTATATGATTAATAATTAGAAGAGATGTCAAGGGTATCATTGTGTCAGTTCAAAATGAAATAACGTCTGTTTCCTCTTTACTATATAAAAGAATTTGCAGTTCTGCGAATACTCAGTTTAGAATTTGCACGGTTTTGCCAGTTTCACGAATTGACACTGAAGAATGAAGATTCAAAGTTGCAAAAACAACTAGAAGAGGGTTAAGAACTAATCTGCAAGCTTGCAAAATCACAACCTGCATACTGCTTTACCAATCGATTAAAATTGATATAAATATATTTTTGTATCAACATGGAAAAGTCTGTTGGTTTCTAAAGGTTGGCCAGTAATTGCCTCTAAGCATGAAATATTTTATAATAATTTGCTGCTTTAGCATTAGATACAGAAAGAGTAAGAAAGTCGAGAAAAGATGTGAATTTTTGTTTTTAAATTATGTTTTGACGATTCATTTATAAGATGCTCATCGACTCTCTTTCCGACTTCTTGTAAAACCAAATCAAAACTAACTAAAGGGAAATCTGTGTTTGCCACAAACTTCCTATATCTTTGCAACCCAAATGTTATAGACCTTAGTTCTTTCAAACCATGAATTCTAATAAATAGACGGTTAATATTATATTACAGGAGTTGAGTCTTTGCTATAAACTCAGATTTTCTATTCTCTATATTTTTGCAACCCAATTTTATAGACCTTAGTTATTTCAAACCATGAATTCTAATAAATGGTATACGACGGTTAATATTACAGGAGTTGAGTATTTGCCACTAACTCAGATTTTATAATCTCTATATCTTTGCAACCCAGTTTTATATACCTTATTTATTTCAAATCATGAATTCTAATAAATAGAAAGTTGCATTTTTCAGGAATTGAGTCTTTGCCACAAACTCAGATTTTCTAATCTCTATATCTTTGTAGCCCAATGTTATTAACCGTGAATTCTGTTACATTAAATCAAGTCAAATCACAAGGGGTAGGGATGACAATGAACTTCAGTAGCAAGTTTTAAAGTTCCTAACAAACAATCTAATTTTAAAATATCAAAGCTTTACACCATCAGGTTGCAAAGCTGTAGGAATTCGAACGTTTGAGTTGGTGGCAAAGACTAAATATCGTTTGTTACTGTTTTGACTCAGATTTTTAGATAATTTAATATAACGGTTAAATGTTATAAAGTCCTAAAGAAACATTTTTTAATAAAAGAAAAACCAAACACACCTTAAGCAACTTACATCTACATTACGTGTTATTTCAAGAATTTATTGAGTTTATTAAGCTTCGCAACTTCTTTAATATTTTCTGAGGTTGTCGACCTAAGGTTTGCATTCCGTAGAAATCAATAATTGTTAAACTATTTATGAATATGAACACAACCAAACCGTACTCAGCAACTAATTAACCACAAGCAGTAAAATACAGGTTAACACGATAAATATACAAAAAAAATGGTGGAAGAGGTCACGTGATCAAACTTAAGTATATTGCACGCAAAATGAAAATCTTATGTTTTCCAACATAACTTATCTTATTAAGAAGCTACGGAGAAGAAAAAATATATTTTGAATTTCCAATATGAAACCGGATAAATTTTATATTCTCATATTTGTACGTAAACTCAAATCTAGAGAATCTCTGAGGTCACTTTAATGATACATGAGACATCGCAGTTTTACAGTGTAAAACGGGATGTTAACGTTTTCATTTTTTTTAACGACGACCCTTCTTTAACTATGGTAAACGCAATTGTCAATAATTTTTTTTTTCAAAAACGATAGTTTTTTCAAAAGCATTTGTTTTTTAAAAAAAGAATCGTATAAAAAACGGTCACAAATTTTTTTTTATAAAATCGATCGTTATTTCCGAAAATAAAAAGATCGTTTTTTGAAAACAGGCCCGCCCATTTTACTGGAAAAAAACTAATTTAATAACATAATTTGTTATTTTGTAACATGAAAAACAAAACATGTAAGTATTGATTACATTTCTCCTCCTATTCCACAGTTTTCAGATTCTCCCTGTATTTAAAGCGTAGTTTTCAGATTCTCCGGCTGTATTTAAAGCGTAGTTTTCAGATTCTCCCTGTATTTAAAGCGTAGTTTTCAGATTCTCACTGTATTTAAAGCGTTATTCACAAATACAATTAAAGTAAAATGCATAAACTTTAAATTTTGTTTTTCTGAGAAGTCAAACAAAAAAGATTTAATATTGATGTAGCTCAGAAACTGAAAAAACTATGAAATAAAAAGAAAAAATATATTTTTCAGAAACAGTCAGCTAGGAAAATATGCAAGTGGGCAATGTATTCCCTTCTTCAACTGTCTTCTTTAGTTTTACAACCAATAGTAAAAGAAAGTGTTTGATGGCATGAAAAGATTTAAAAACTAAGAAACTGAGTTTGTGCCATCACAAAGTTAAATTTTCTAATCCATTTATCTTTGCAACCTGAGATGGAATTTAAAGAATTTGAGCCGGGGTTTAAATCTGCCAAAACCCGGTTTAAATTAAGTGACGGCTTAAATCTTTAAACATTTGATACAATTTTAAGTGGAACCACCCATATTTAAATATTTAAATATTTAAATTTAAACCGCCGCTCAAATTCTTTAAATTCGGCCACTGATGATATTTCAAACGTATATTACATTTGATCTGACAGAGGACTTGGTTTAAAACGGCCTAAAAGATGTATGGATTAGAAAATTTGAGTTTGTTGTAAAATCTTAGCTTCTTTCTTCTTATCTGAAGTTTTTTAGAAAAACGATTGTAAACTAAAATTATATAAACCTTAGTTTAACGTGCCTTGTCGGATTTCTGAATATATAATGTAATTACATTCATGTAATTGATTAATTGATAGGTCTTTGATATTAACTAATGAATACATGATTAATTAAGAGTACTAGGTTTAAAGGAAGACTGATTAAAAGAGAACTGATCTAGAATAAATAATTCTAAAATAAATAATTCTCTCCAGCCCAAAGTAATGAACAAAACATTAGATTTTTCAATAAAATTTTTTTGGTAGGTTTAACGTTTAAAAAGGTTTTACTAATTAAATGTCTAAAATAGATAATAGACTTATATGGATTTTCGGGAAAAAAGGTATTGATAAGTTACAGATTTTTTAACCTCATGAGGAAATAAAAATCTGCAAAGTTGTCATCTGTCCTGGTTTTAACATGCCAACCCAGTTATCTTTTTTTGGTGCTTTGATTTTGACTATTTTCAAAGATCTGTTAACTTTACATCATTTTTCTAATATAAGATTGTTGTTAAACTCACTGGTTTAGAGTTTTTCTTGACTGAAAATATTTATAAATAATAATAAATATATTGTACTCCAGCTCTTTTGCTCAAATATCTGAACAGTCCCATTATTGTAAAATATCAAAGTCAGTCTTACCTTTGACTGAAAGGGACCGAGCAAGTCCAAAATCTGCGAGTTTACAATTGCACTGAGAGTCAAGCAATATATTGCTGGGTTTCTGGTCTCTATGTATCACATTGCCAGAGTGTAGGAACTTTGTTGCCTAGTAATAACAATAAAGATAATAATGATAATGAAAATCATAATAATCATAATTATTAAAATGATAAAAATAAAAATCATGATAATAATGGTAATAATAGCAGTAACAATGATAATTATCAAATTAATAATTTAACGATAATAATAACAATAATGATAACTATATAATACTTAATGAACAATTAAAATTTAAGAAAAACATAGCACTTGAAGAAAATTATCATTCCTTTATAAAAAGCTGGTTTTTTGGTATGCAACAATTTTCATTTAATCCCGCCGGGATATTTTCATTAAACACTGCATTGAAAAATCTTAGAATTTTAAATCAGTCAGTTCTCTTTCAGCTTTTTAAAAAGGAATGTCATTTACTCTCAGACAAATTAGAATCAATGGAAATGTAAATGATACAATTTTTACTGAACTACCGCAAAAAAAATCAAAAATAAACCATATCCATAATTACATTATGAATATATAATATAGGTGCAGATCTTCCAGTAACCATTTGAATTTTATTAAAACTGTCCTTGACGGGTCCTCAAAATTCTCTTAATGGCACTTAGAGATAGCGTCAGCCTACTTTTAAAATACAAAATTAATAGCAAAGCAATGATTTTTGAAAAAAAAGTAACTAAAATAGTATCATATTTGGGGACAGAACAGTTCTTAATACAAGGACAAAAGAAATATTTTAAGATACCAAAGAAAAAAAAATAACAAACCTTAAAAAGCTGGTACATAATGTACTGTCTGTGTATTTCCTTGAGGATATTTCCCTTCTTGATAACATGATGCAAATCAGTTTCCATAAACTCAAATACAAGGTACAGGTCCTTTAAAAACATATTTATTCTTTTTTGCATTAACAGTTTCAATCCAGATAAGGGGGATACATTTTCTAGGTTTCTCATACCATGCGGACCTGGGGTAGGTTTCTTTGCTGCTTTAAGTTTATCCACAGGAATTGAGTCTTTGCCACAAACATAAGTTCTTGTAACCCTATATCCTTGCAACCTGATAATGTAAACGTTTGATATTTCAAATTTTGAATATTTAATCTAACAAGGTTCATAGTTAGAAATATCTAATGTCTACGACATTGGGTTGCAAAGACTCAATTCCTTTTGAAATCCCCAGACTATTAGCGTTTGTGGCAAATGTTCAGTTCTGTTGCAATCTCAAAACAAAATTTTAACAATTTTTAAACATTTACATTTTTTTAGAGATCTATTAACAATCTTAAATTGGATAAATTTTGCTTGTTTCAATAAAGTTTTAAATAAAAAGTTCAAATTTTGCTTATTTCAATAAAGGTTTAAATAAAAAGTTCAGGATTTTTAATCTCTCATTTTAATTTAGTTTTTATAAATATGATTCCTTGTCGTTCGAAGCTCGATGAACATTCAGCAATCGAATAATGTTCGGGTGGGAGCCGAACTCTTTCAGGAAAACGATTTCTCGAAATGTTCTCTGCGCATCTGTTCGATTTCGAAATGCGTCAAAAATTTTCTTGACAGCTACCGTGCTTCCATATTTTCTAAACAAAGAAATCATTAAATGTTGGAACATTTTTTATATCTTTAAGTTGCATTAGATTCCAATAATTCAGAGGGACATTTAAATATAATAGTTTCATCTTAAAAAGATTATCAGAAATTGGGATTATAGAAAAACAATAAAAATTAATTGAAAATCACAACATTGCTGGTTTTGGCGTAAAGTTTATAAAAAATCTATATTGTCACTATTTAATTATAAAATACTAAACTAATAAAACAATTTCGGTGAAACTTTTTTTTACAGAAGACATATCATTGTCTTTTTTTTCAGAAGTTAAAAAAAATTTGTTAGAATTTATTTTTTACAGACATGCACCTCTGCTTCTTTAGTAAACGTGAATTCAACCTATATGAAGCATAAAGTCTGACCTCGTCAACCTTGTTGCACCGGCTAGTCCTGCCCATAGAGCTAGGTACAGTACAAACTGGAACCGGAAAGGTTGACCCGGCTCGGAAATTCAAATATACTACGGCTGCCCGTGCATAATTAACATTTCTTACCTATCGATGCCTTTCCATACGACGCCATAAGCTCCCTTTCCTAATCTTCTTCTGATCTCGTATTTTTTACTGATATGAGAATCTATATCATTGGATATACTCGACATCTATAAAAATAGTTTTCAATATTTTTTCTGTGATTTTTTTTTTCAGCAAAATGTAGAATAAAAGGAATTTTGAAATTTGACAATTCATTTTCTGACAAAGTCAAATTATAAACGAAACTGGGGGGAAATACAGTCGGTTTAAGCCAAATTATAAACGAAACTGGGGGAAAATTCGGTTGTGTCGGTGTAAGCCTTTCTGAAGCATTTTCGTTGCTGAATGTAAGGTACTAATGCAAGGAAAGATATTTCAGAGGTGTACACATTTTTTGTACTGCAGTGTGCTGTCTTTGGGCGGAAAAGTAAACACAAGACGGATGTCACAGCCTGACATGGATTCAATTTTCACAAAAATAGTCTATGAAATATTCTGGTCATAAAAAACTATTATGTGCATTTTCAAAATTATAAAAATTAAATGATTGTATCTTCCTCGGATACTGAACGAACACTGATCCATCTATTCTTTTTTACAAATTCCGCCCAAAGAGAACTGGTTTTAATATGTGCGAAGACTATTCGGAGCTGCAACTAATTTTTCTTGCATTAGGTTCTTGGCTGAATGTAAATATTTTTTAATTACATATTTGTAAATTCAAATCAAAATATTTCGTTCTCATAAAAGAATTCCCTTCATTCTTGCTTCCACGGAAGTTTCAACACGAAACAACCACTTGAGAACTTTAAAATTTAAATCAGATCTGTTTTCAGAATATTTTAATAATTAAAACGCTTTTCGACCATATTAAGATCACAATATAAGGTATCGATTTGGCACAAACAAAAGTTTTAAACATCAAGTTGACTCTTATTCCTAATTGATGCGACATTTTTTAAGAAAGTTGTATAAAAAAAGTAAATGAGTTTATTATATTTAAAACTTGAATTTGAATTTGAAATAATTTGAAGATTTGATTTGAGACGCGGCTTAAATTCATTTAATTCGGACACTGGTAAGTCAATTTATTGTGATAGATTCTTATGTTGACTAAGGTTTGTTTCTATTATAAAAGCAGACATTTTTTTTTCGTTTAATATTTCTGCAATTAATATGCAATTAAAACGGAAACTACCTTGCTAAGCTTTTAAACGCATAAACTTGCATCAAATAAACTTCTTTCCAAAGCGATGAAATAATTAGGTTTAAGACAGTTAAACCCTTTTAATTAATTACGGCGCAATGGATTCTGCTATTTTCTACCCCTCATTAAAAAATACTTTCAGGTTTGCATGAAATAAAGGCATTAATCATAAAGTAAGCTAGTTTTTAATTGAGTTTTTAGAATTCGTTATTTGTTAGTATCAAGATCTCTACAATTGCTATAAGATCAGATTAAAGATAAAAATTAATTATAATTTTACCTTGTTTCGTAACTCAAAGTTTCGTCAAAATCATTTATTCTGACATTATTACAGGTTTTTTAACTTTGTAAATATACTTCTAACACTCTAATTCATTCAATATTTAATGTAAAATTCACTTTAATTTCTGTCCATATGTATCTGTAATTCACATTGTTCATGGGTTTTAACTTCTAATGTCTGAAATATTAGAAAATGACATTTCTAGAATATGCTTCACCTGTTTCAACTTCAAAGTTCAACTGGTGGAACTGAATAAATCCTTGAAGGGTCAGCGTCCCCTAGCCCCCTCCCCCCACACCGGACCTGGGGNGTCCTGCAGACGCGCACCCCCTCTCAAAACCCGTGACCCCTCTCCCCCCCTGTCCATGCTATCAGTAGTTATCACTTGCAGGGTTAACATCCTTATTGTTATATATATACAATATAATACAAAGAGATGAAACCAAAGAGAATAGAATATATATTAGAGGGGAATTTAGAGAATCTCTCGGTATGAATTTGTTCAGTCTCTTTCAGCCTAAAAGGGAGTTCAAAGTGTACAAATCATGTAAATGTTTACAAATTATATGCAGTAGAGTACATTAATACAGTATGTTCCCTAGGCTATCCATCCTAATTTCGAATTTTTAAAGCTGTTAAATAAACTTTATAGTGAATTAAGTGAATAAAAAACATCATTTGATTTATAGTTATAACGGAAAATCATGTTGTTTGTAAAGTGATCATTGGACAATTATGAAACCAGTCTATTTCATAATTTGGTTTTCTTTTAATATTAGTTTTAGATTTTCTATAAAGTGATATTCCAGGGCCCAAAAGGTTATATAGCATAAATATGTGAAGTACACCTGCAGTATGGAAACAGTACAACAAACTGGCCGTTTTACACTTTTTTCTAGTAAATTCCCCTCTAATATATATTCTATTCTCTTTGGATGAAACGGAGGCACAATTGTACAGATTTTGTAAGTTTAAAAAATATATTAAGTTTCAAAATCTCAGGAAAACTCAAAGGTCTACGAAATCAGAAGAAGTATAAAACTGTTTATAATTGATTTAATGATTGTTTATAATTTTAATGGTTTGTTCCGTTAATTTGTCAATTTTACAAAGGAGAGTTTATTGAAAATCAAAAAATATCTTCAGTTTGCCTGGTGGATACTTGATTTCACATTGAACTATAGACAAAAGGTAAATTAAGTTACGCGGGATTGCGGAATACTTGTACAATGTAAACACGTAGCTCCTCTGGTTTTGATTTCCACGCAAATAAAAGAAGAGCAAAGGAATTGAGTTTTTGCCACAAACTCTCATCTTCAAAGGGAGTGTTCGCGAAAAATGAAAGGGGGTACAGGCTTAATGCGATAAAAAAGCGCTTTTGATCGCTACTAATCTTACTTCTATCTGTTGCGTCTATAAGGAGAAAATTGTTAAAGACGTCTCATACCGAATAACATGGCGTCCATACAAATTGAGAAAATTGCAAAGCAACAGATAGAAGTAAGATTAGTAGCGATCTAAAGCGCTTTTTTATCGCATTAAGCCTATACCCCCTTTCATTTTTCGCGAACACTCCCTTTAACCTTCTGTCTTTGCAACCCAATGACGTAGATCTTTGATATTTTAACTAAGAAATTTGTTAGATCAAATTAAAGTTTAAAATATCAAAGGATTATGGATTAGAAATTTGAGTTTGTGGCAAAGACTTAATTCTATTTATGAAAAATAATTTTGGTCTATTTTCTTTTGCAGAGTTTGTTGTTCTATAGTTTCAGCCACAAATTATATAATTACGAAAAAAGTTTATTTTGAATTAGTATTTGTTTTTATTTTCATAATTATTGCTAGATTTGAGTCAAGGATACAAAACAAAAACATTAGTTTTAATGAAATACTAAATAATTCCTAGTAAACGGGATATTTAGAAATTATTTTCTAAACAATTATATTTATTGGTGGTTGGAGGAAAGAATAGACATTGGTTGTGTTGGGACTTTCCTTCTAAAAACATATCATAGAAAAAATATTTCATAGAAATTATATTTAATAGAAATTATATTATGAATGATTTGTTGGGAATTAAATTGATTTGTTTACGATCCGAGTTGAATGTTGCATCTTTCCGAATTTGTATGGGCGCTGCGTTCTTCGGTGTGAGTCGTTTTTAACAATTTTCTCTTTATAGACGCAACAGATAGAAGTAAGATTAGTAGCAATCAAAAGCGCTTTTTTATCGCATTAAGCCTATACCCCCTTTCATTTTTCGCGAACACTCCCTTTAATAGTCCAAAAGTCCTGCAGAGTTTATTGTTATAACTGTAGTTGTAAGGTTAATTTTGTCCTTTTGCCCCTGGAAGCTTTTTTAGAACAATTTGTAGATTTTTCTTCTTCTGATTTGATCGTATTTTTACTAAAATGTTTTGGTATCTTTGTTAAAGAGACTGTAAGTGTAATTTAAAGTGACCTTTTATTCTAAGATGGCAATGTCCGATTCACAACTGTACCCTTCTTCTTTTTGATTTAACAAGATATGTTACCCTGCACTACACTTGTTTAGTCTAATTATGTTTATTAAAATTTTTCAGAAAAAGTATCTTTATCTGAAAGTCGTCTATTTTTCCACTTTATATCTAGACTGCATGGCACTGCATTGAAATATATTATATGTAATATTCCATTTTTAATTTGATAATTGCATATTTTACACCAGTCAAAGGAATTGAGTCTTTGCCACAAACTCTGATTTTCTAATCACTATATCTTTGGAACCAAGTGTTGCAAATCTTAGATATTTCAAACTATGAATTCTGTTAGATCAAATAATCTGAGTTTGAAATATCAAAGGTTTACAACATCGAGTTCTAAATATATTGTGGTTTAAATATTTGATTTTGTTCCAAAGACTCAATTCCTTTGGTTAAATTTTAATTATGTAAAACGCTTGTTTTATGTGGTATTAAACTAGAATTATGAGAGTGCACAAAAGTTTTTTATAAAATTTCTTTTTAGATCTAAAACTGTTGAAAACCTTGAAAACTTAAACTTATCATCATTAGGTAAAATAACTTTAATTCAACCACACCTATACTTCAGTGTAAATTCAGGCAGACGCTGAACTCCAACCTTCGAGTGCGCGAGGTGGGGAAGACTTCACTGCAGATTTTAATTTTGTACATGATCACTTTTTCAACAATTTTCAATGAAATTAGCATTTATTTAGGGTTAGGTTAGGTTAAGACACTTTCTGGGCCGAGCGCTGCGGCCGCGTGCTAGGTTAAGTTATGGCACTTTCTGGGCCGAGCGCTGCGGCTAGAATTCAATCTCGATCTATAAATGTCATCCCCCTTAATCATGCTTTTAATTAAGCACGGCAGTGAAGTCTTCCCCACCTCGCACACTCGAAGGTTGGAGTTCAGCGTCTGCCGTAAATTGAGATTCAGAACCGGTTTAAAGCAGAATGTCGTCTTTGCGTTATCTTTTTATCGTTGAACCGGCGACCTCTCCAGTTTATTGAATTCGGTCCCAGGGCAAATTAAACCATCCTTTGATTTGGTTTACAGGATATAGAAAATCAATACAAACTTGTATTCCGCTCACTGGTTATGTTTGTGTAAATATAGTACATAAACATAATATATATACATATATGTACATTCTTTAACATCTTGTTCTAGTTTTTTTTCTATATTTTAGTCGGAGAAATGAAACGTTTTTCAAATATATCCATGATTGCTGAACAGGTTTTATATTTTAATATTTTAAATATTTCATGGATATATCTACTAGCAACTTAATATACAGATATAGGTAAATATGTAAGAAATTAAAATTGATTTAGGCTAGGTTTCTCAAGTTTAGTTTGATCTTGTCTAGATTGATCTTGTTTATGTTGATCTTGTCTATGTTGATCTTGTCTATGTTGATCTTGTCTATGTTGATCTTGTCTATGTTGATCTTGACTAGGTTGATCTTGATATCTTGATCATGTCTATGTTGATCTTGTCTATGTTTATCTTGTCTATGGTGATCTTGTCTAGGTTGTCCTTGTTTAGGTTTTTTGTCTATGTTGATTTTGACTAGGTTGATCAATTGTCTAGGTTGATCTTGTATATGTTGATCTTGTCTATGTTGATCTTGACTAGGTTGATATTGTCTATGTTGATCTTGCCTATGTTGAACTTGTCTATGCTGATCTTCTCTAGGTTGTCCTTGATTAGGTTATCTTGTCTAAATGTTGATTTTGACTAGGTTCATCTTGTCTGGGTTGATCTTGTCTTGGTTGATCTTTTCTAGGTTGATCTTGACTATTGCGCAAGTCACTTTCGTAAATGAAAAAAATACAAAAAAAACATAGATATCTAATTCATACTTGATCAGAAAAAGCTGTCAAATGTACTATTGTAAACCGGGCAATATTTGCAGGGAGGGTCACTTGAAATTACGCTTACAGTCCCTTCTTAAAGACCTGGGCAAAGAGGAACAGAAGGATTTTTTAAGAACTGTTGAATATAAGAATAAACAATTTATATGTTGAAATATTCAATAATGATGTAATTACTGAAACGTATAAATAATCGATGTAATTAATGTAATTATTGTTATAATCATTTTCTCCTATTTATGCATAATTAGGCATATTTTTGTAAATCTATAATATATCAAAAATGTTAAAGAAAGGAATTGAATCTTTGCCAGAAACTATAATTTTCTAATCCCAATATCATTGAAACTTGACTGTGTAAACTTTTTATATTTCAAAGATAAATTATTTGATCTAACAAAATTCATAGTTTGAATTATCTGAGATCTTTAACTTTGGGTTGCAAAGATCTAGTGGGATTGGAAAATCAGAGATTGTAGCTAAGATTTCTTTAAACTATAAGACTTTATAATATATGTATCTCCAGCTAGTTATTCATAAATTATATTTCATAGAAATTATATTTCATAGAAATTATATTTCATAGAAAAGATATTTCATAGAAAAGACATTTTTATAAATATAAGATTTCATAGAAAAGACATTTTATAGATGAAAGTTCATAGACGCAGGCACTTCAATGATAGAAGTCAGAACATTTGTGTTGCGAATCCCTGGATTGAACATTTATACATCTTTAATATATTTGTATGTACGTGCATTATTAATGCTTATAATAAAAATCAGATTGGGAGATTTTTTAATGAGCTAACAAGTTAACAAGTTTGAGATATCTTTTTAATGATCGGACGTAACTGGTTCCTCAATTTTATGCGCGGTTAAAGGAACTGAGCTCTTGTCACAATTTCTGATTTTCTAACTCCTATATCTTTGCAATCCAATGTCGTAGACCTTAGATATTTCAAACTATGAATTATGTTATATCAATTAATCTAATTTTGAAATATCAAAATTTTACGCGATCAGGTTGCAAAGAATTAGGGATTAAAAAATTTGAGGTTGGGGCAAAAACTCAATTTCTTTCCAAAGTTTTGACGACTAGAGATCGGCTAATCTCCCTGCGAGTCAGAAATCAATTTAACTGATTCCGTTTCATTAAAAGTTTTCAACACAGGACTCTTGGTAACAACATATTCCCTATTACGTAAAGCTTCTTCCTGCAAATAATTACAATTTCTCTACAAAGTTTTGAACCTAATCTCATTCAACCTTCAGGTTTAAACCAACTTCTGACATAGGAAGCTTTGTCTCTCTAATAAAAGCAAATCGTTTACCCAAAATGAAGACCCTTTTATTTTTTTTATTTTATTTTCTACATCCCAATGAAAACCACTTTTAAAGTAACTGGTTGATTTTGAACGAAGTCGGGAGTTTATAAATACCGATTCACAACGATATCCTATAAAACTTATTTTGAGTATAACAATGTGAAAAATATCGTCATTAATTAATATTTAAAGAAAAAGACAAATTCTGCCAATTTCTATCTGTCTCTGTCTTTCCCTGTAGCAAAAATATGTTAGTCTCAATTTGTCAGAAAACCAGCACTTAAAACTACATATTTTTATTAAGGTTTTAAGATTATCATTGTGAATCTGGTCAGTCGAAATTACGGCCTTGGCTAAAGAGAAACAAATGTTTTAGTAAATAATTGTCAGGGTTTGTTATAAATAAATTGCAGTAAATAAGTAATAAATTAATTTATGGTTTTTTGTAAAATCCTATAATTGATAAATGAACATGCACAATGCACATTGAACAATGTATATTGTATACAAAAACAAAATTAAAATGTATGGCACCTTTTTTTACAGAGAATTAATTTAAAATTTGTTTTCTTTAAATTTTCTTCCTAATCAGAGTTATTAGATAAAAATGAGACCAAAAAGTAATATAATATAATATAATATAATATAATATAATATATGTATCATTATATTTCGATTTTTAACTTTACATTTTATTCAAAACAATTGTTGTAAGTAAAAATGTTATCATGTCTCATAGCGATCGGAAGTATTCAAATATTTGTTTAATGTTTATATATATAAATATGTAGCGTACTTATAGCTTTTTTTGTTTATTTAATCATATTTAATTATATCAAATTGTAGACAAAACTTATTTTCAGACAGAAAAATCGGGTTAAATACTGGAATTTGCATATTTTAAAAATTTTTAATTAAAAGTTTAAAGTTTGACCCACATCAGCCAGACATGATTTATAAGTTCTGAACCCATCACGAAATTGAATTAAATAAATTCAATAAACTTATACTATGGAGATTTGCCTATTTTGGTACAAACGTTTATGTAAAGTAAGTTTAGATAAATCCAATCCCACAAAACCTACAATTTTAAAATGATTGTATTAAAAGCTAGATAACATTTAATTTACTGCTGTTCTGGTTTTTAAACTATTTTACAAAGTTCTGAGAATGTATAAATTATAATTACTGGTATTAAGTTTGTAATTTTTGCGTGCCTAGACGTGAAAGCTGGTTTATTTATTGAAAAAACTGATTACTTGTCTCAAACTCAATTTTCTAATGCTTGTATCTTTGCAACCTGTTGTTGTAGAAGTTTGAAATATTTTAGAGATGCACCATTAGGTTGCAAAGATTCAGGGATTTGAAAATTAGAGTTTAAGGCAATGATCAATTCTTTTGATGACTATGTTATTCAGCCACCAAAATATCTCAATAATAAAATTTATTTAGAATGTAATAACACAAGAATTGTTTTTTACTTTTTAAAAGTACTTTTTTGTTAAATTAGTTAATTGCTTTTTGTTTATTTCCTGTGAAAAAAAAAACTAATTTTTAGAGTTTTAAAGTCAAGATGATCTTGGTAAAGGTGACATATTGTATTGTTATCNGAGGTTCCCTTCTGCAAGCTAATGGAACACTGCTAGTAAAATCAATTCTTTAGTTAGACGTCAATAATATGCTAAGTTAGCAACCAACATATCATAAATTAGAAACACATCATATTTTAGATAGTGTAACACCTTTACACCAATAATTAAAACCTAGAGATAAATCGGAAGTAGAAAAATATTTAGATTAAGTATTTAAATAATCAAATATATTTGTGTATAGTATATTTAAAGTAGAAAGCTATGAATCAGAACTCCAGGTAGAAGTATACCTACCTTCTATACCAGTAATATACCGCACTTATATATTAATCCTTTTAAAGGGAAAGTTCACCAAACAATACAAAAGAATATAAAAAGTACATTATTTATACAAAAATAGAATAACTCTCGTTTCTTGAATAGATGGAAACATATTTCTGAGCATAAAAATTAAACTTTCTTTAGATATTTACTTTGACATAGCATTTTCTGGGTCACTTTGAATATAGAAAAAAGGTCAAATGTATGTTACATTACTGGTAGGACTTTGTGACTCTCTAACTCCTCTAGCTTTGATTTAACTCACAATAATGGGATAAAAATTTATTCAGTTTAAACATACTAGAAGTTCAAAACTTTTTTTCTTCCCATTAGCCTTCAATAAGAAGAGTTATACTGAGGTTAGGTTAAATTATTTTTATTGTAATCCTTTTGTTCAAATAGACCATGTGTTCTTTTTGTCGATAAATAAATGGAGGTGTATTTAAGGCCTGACTAAATGGATTTCTACTGTTTGTTAATGTTGAAATTGATGTGACTGTGACTCTTAATAAGTTTAAATTTTCACTTTTCTTTTAATTGGTATTAGTATGTAATTATATTAGTTTAAAATGTATTTCATTAAATCTATTTTATTTCATTCTCATGATATTATTTTTATTTCTGGATTTGCTTCCCTCTACAAGAAATGTCGATTTAATTTCAAGTTACCCTCAATGTTAATGGGTTACACAGCAGCTGATCTCTTTGGTACTCGTTTATCGGATAAACAATAAGAAAGATATGGTCGTTTATCGGATAAACAATAAGCATGATATCGTCGTTTTTTTGACTTAAAAAATGTAAATTCTCTCAATTTCCTCCCTTGTCTTCTGCAACTACTTTTTTCAGACAAACGCAATTGAAATTTTTTAAGTTTCTGATAAAAAAGAATAACTCTTTCCTCCGAGAAAAGCGTTTACAGAATACCGATGAATCAGGCGTTTACATAACTTGAAATTACGCTGGCAGTCCCTTTACACTGCCCAGACTGTTTAGTCCTGGAATAAGCTTAGAATCAATAAACACTTAAAGGATTCAGTTCTGCCAACTTTATTTGTATTCCCCCGGCGCTGACAATCATGGAAAATTCTGTCATGCGTAATTAACTTCTTAATTTCTTTAGGGAAGAAATTAATCGAACACTCGCTCCATAATCTCTTATTTTATATTCCTAATCTTTGCGATTTGAAAATATAAACCTTTCATATTTTTAAATCTTTCTGTACGATCTAGTAGATTTTATTGTTTGAAATATCATAGATCTGCAACATTAGGTTGCAAAGATATATTGAAGTAGTAGCAGAGTATTCAGTTCCCTTATTTTACATGAATTTCACTTTAGCTTAAACATTAAAGCATTAAACATTAAGCTTAAACTCAAGAATTGAGTAGGATATGCAATCTATCAAAATATAATTTTAAAGCTGAGAAACATTAAGTTTCTTTCCATTTCTTTCAGAAATATAATATTTAAACCTTGATAAAAAAATAAATGTAAAAAATACTTTACCACAATATGTATTACTTACTTGAAGATTTGAAGTCATTTTAATTAAAAATATGAAATCATTGTGAATACTAAATAGTATTTTTATATAAAAATCTTTTTCTGATAATGAATATTTTACTGCAACCCTTTCTCAATTAAACAATGTAAGAAAGTTATGTTTAAAGGGAGTGTTTACAAAAATTATAAAGGGTTATATCATAGAAAATAAAAAGATAATGAATAAAGTATTTTTTAATTTCATTTTTTTTATCTTATGTGTGTGTGAAAAAAACAGAATATGTGCCATCAAGTTTGTTCAGAGTGTATGTTAAAGGGATACCGATGTGAGTTGGATATGAAGGAATACTTGAAATTACGATTCACGTCCACAGTCCCTTTATTAAGACCCTTCCCTTTTGTCTCTCTTTTGAATTATTGCTTCACATCTGTATTGAAAGGAATAAAGTTAAATACCATTAACATCTGTTTTACTTTAGAACTTTAGAAACGTAGACGTATCTAGTCATATTTGTTTTACTGGGAACAATATTGAACAGATTACCGCTGGATCAGCTGAACGTGAACACAATGTT